CCATGTGACTTCTATCACAAGTTAGTTTTGACTGTGAATAAACTAAGTAGACTCATAAAGAATGTACACTATGTGTCTAACTTTTTTCATTCATCATCATGGTTAAATTGACTATCATAAATTCACTCCAATTTTTGCATGTAGCAAATGTTTTCTTCTTTTCTTTTACTGCTGTATAGTATTACATCATACGACTGTACGTTATTTATCCATTCGACTGTTGATGGAATGGGTTTCCAGTTCTTGGATGTTATAAATTAAGCTGCTATGAACATTCTTGCACTTGTCACTTTGTGACATATAAACCCATTTCTTCTGGATTTATACCTAAGGATGAAACTAATGAGTTATAGGGTAGGCTATGTTCAGTTTCGGTAGTTTCGGTTATCAAATAGTTTTCCAAGAAAGTTACATCAACTTACACCTCTATCAGCAACGTATAGTAGTTTCACGTATTCCAGTCTTAATCATTTCTAGGTCTATACTGGTATTTCATTAGATTTCACTGATGATTAACAATGTTGAGCATTTTTTATGTGATTATTGGATGTTCAGATATCTCCTTTTGATACAACTGTTTAAATCTTCCCCCCATTTTAAAAGTGAGTTTTTTTCTTGATTATTGTTGCTTTGTAGTAACTTTTGAAGTTACTTTTGAAATTGAGAAGGTAGTGTTCTTTTTTCAAGATTGTTTTGGCTATTCTTGGTTCTTTAAATTTCTACATGAATCGTAGGATAAGCTTGTCCATTTCTGCAAAGATAGCTAAGATTATGATATTGTGTTGAAGCTGTAGATAATTGGGGAGAGGAGGTACTGCCATTTTAACAATATTAAGTCTTCTGATTCATGACCACGGAATATCTTAATTCCTTTTTATGCTATTGTAAATGGAATGTTTTGTTCACTTTTTAATAGATCCCTAGTATGTTCTATATACAAGGTCATATCACTTCCTCCCTCCCAATCTGGGTGCATTTTGTTTCATTTTCTTGCCTAATTTCCCTGACCAGAACCTCTAGTACAATGTTTAACATAAGAGACATTCTTGTATTACTTCTGATCACAGGGGAAAGCATTAATACGTTGTTAAATTCCATTTGTTAATTTTTTCTTGTTTTGCATCTGTATTCATAAGAGATATTGGTGAGTAGTTTTATTTTTTTGTGGTGTATCTGTATGGTTCTGGTATCAAGGTAAACTGCCCTTTTAGGACAAGCTGGGAAGTATTTCCTCCTCTTCTACATTTATGAAGAACTGGCATTAATTCTTTGAATGTTTGGTAGAAGTCATGAGGGAAGCCATCTGGGCCTGAGCTCTTCTTTGTGGGTTATCTTTGATTGCTAATCCAATTTCTTCAGCTGTTGTACGTCTGTTCAGATTTCTATGACTTCTTGAATCAGAGTAAGTAGTTTATGTCTTTCTAGAAATTTGTCAATTTCATTTAAGTTATCTACCTTATTGGCATTCAACTGTTCATAATATTCCATTATAATTCTTTTTATTTCTGTAAGGTCAAGAGTAATGTTCAAAATTTCATTCCTGATTTTAGTACTTTGAGTCTTCTCTCTTTCACTTACTGTTACCTAACAATCTCCCCTTTTTTGCCACAATTTGAAATGCAACAATGCACTAGCCCCAAAATATTTTCCATCTAGCGTTTCTTAGTTGGATGCCAGAAAAGCAGTATGTAGAGAATTTGTAAATGTCTTAGACAGTCTGTTCTTTCATTTGTAAAGTGGTTAATAGCACAGGCTCTGTTATTATGTCTCTTGGGTTCAAATCCAGTTCAACCAGTTAAACACATGAATTAACCATTCCAAGCTTCAGTTTCCATGCATGTAAGAAGAGGCTGGGTGTGTGTTAATACTAAGAACTATTTCTATGGAGTTCTTGTGAGATAAAACTGGATGCTCGTCAAGTGCTGTGAAAGTCTTTGGCACAAATTGTTACATAAATACCTACAGCTACTATTGATGATCCTTCTTTATCACTTACAGGATATACTTCTATACATCATGTAGGACTCTTCAAAGATTCCACCTTGGCTCCCAAAACACGTATTTCTATAAAATATATTATTTTGCATATATAGGTTTTTATAAAAATTGCAAGATGTGCCCTGGCCAGTTTGGCTCAGCGGTTAGAGCGTTGGCCTACGGTCCGGAGAGACCCCGGTTCGGTTCCCGCTAAGGGCGCATACCTCGGTTGTAGTTTGTCCCCGGCCCTAGTTGGTCATGCAGGTAGCAGCCACTCGATGTGTCCCTTTCACGTCGATGTTTTTTTTTCTCTCTCTCTTCCTCTCTCTCCCTCCCACTCTATCTGAACAGAAAATGGAAAAATATCCTCGGGTGAGGATTAAAAAAAAAAAATTTCAAGTTGCTTAACAGTACACCTTATTTAAAATTGCCAAATAATTTCACTGAAGCCAGCATCATTTTCCTTTATTACCCTTTACTATGTGAAAATAGTATACATGAGGTCTAGACCCACTTCCTTTGAAATTCTACTACATATGTACAACCAACCACTCTGCAGCAGAAAGCATACAAACGACATGCCAGGCATTAGAGGTGATGACAATAAAAAAGGCAGAAGCAGTCCTAACCCAAATTATAGTCCACACATGCTTCACTAACATATGTAATTACAACGCAATGTAATATGTAAACAGGAAACACAGGGTGCTAGAGAACACAGAGAAAAGATACTCTCCCAGAGTGTAAGTTAAGAAGGGCATCCTACACAATGGGATGTCTGATGTGAAAGGTACGGAGGAGTAAGGCAGGGAGGCAGAAGTTGGATTTAAAGGAACTAGGTCCTAGGCAGAAGGCACATTTTGTTCAAAGGCCCAAAATTGACAGAGGACGCAGACTGCTAAAGGAGCTGGAAAAGTCTAGCACACAGGAAGTGTGCAGTGCAAGTATGGAGTGCTGAAGCATGACATGTGGAAAGAGACTGGGAAGAAACTCGTAAGCCCTCCTCTTTATAATCCAATTAAATGAAAGAATGCTTATGAGTGCTGAATACAGTTCCTAGTACAAAATAAGTGCACACTAAACTAAACATTATTCACTTACTGTTAGCTAACACTCTCTCCTTTTTTGCCATAATTTGAAATGCAACAATGCACTAACCCCAAAATATTTTCCATCTAGCGTTTCTTAGTTGGATGCCAGAAAAACAGTATGTAGAGAATTTGTAAATGTCTTAGACAGTCTGTTCTTTCATTTGTAAATGGGAACACGAATGCCAACCTCTCAGTCTTGCTGTAGGACTAGAAAGAGCATCCTAGAAGAGTCAGGGCACACAGGAATGACCTCAGCAAGCAGTTCCTATTAAGGCAGACTCGCAGACCAGACAGAGAAACAGAAAAGTGGAAAGCTTTGGCTTCACTTTGTACGCAGTAGGAATACCTTAGAAATAACATCATCTTAGGCCTAAAATCTCTTTGAAAGCAGGATAAGACACATACACCAAAAATGCTCAAGTTTTTATCAAAAGAAACACTAGTCTGATGATATGTTTATTTTCCTAATGTGTAAGCTCTTACAAACAGAAAAACAGATCTTCTATGGTTCATTTTTTTCACAGTATATTTCTCAAGTCCCACTAACCTAAAACAACTACTCTTATCTTACATATTTCTTTCCAAGTACTTTAAACACAACACTTGAAGGGTTTTTCTACTCCATATTATACTGTTCTGATTTAAGCCCAAGACCAAATGGATATTGAATAAGTAATGTTTCAAGAGTATCTACTTTGCAAAAGCAAAATAACAAACTCTCTGATTACATTTAAAACAAGACAATTAATCATAATTCAATTTAAACTCAACTTCTGAGTAACATATCTAGGATGTTAAAAGAGGCACCCTATATAAATTACATACTATGTAATTTTTGTCGGATTCTAATTTGTCTTACTGTCAACACATTCATTTCAAGCTATTCTTTTTTCTTCCTAATGGTCTCATTCAAGAGTAGCTTAATTCTAAGAAAATTTTATTGATATTAATCATAAATGGCAATAAAATATCAAAATGTGTCTGACAAAGAAAGCATTAAGCTACATCTTCTCTTTCTTGAAAAGCAAACAAAAAACTACCTGAAATAAACTAAAAGACTATCTTAACAAATTCAAACAAATATTTTTTCACACAACTATACACTATTATTAACAGAAAATCACAAATGAACTGAAAATTAAGCTATATTTCCCAGGGAAGAAAATCTCGGCTAATACAAAAAGCTTATTCCAGAATGTTCAAGTAGGAAACATTTCCACATTACTAATACAAACTATAAATCCAAAGGAGATAAGAATATCCGCAGGAATTCTTACAGAGGTTTTGGCAAGAGGTACTATTCCAGGAAGAAGAAAAAAAGTCATAGATTTTACTGTCGCAAATACCACTAAATACCTGCTTAGGGCTCACATATATACCCTCAATAATCCCTCAGTATGCCTTTGGATCAAGTCATCTCAATTTGTTGATGCTAAACTTTCAAGTGTCATAGGACAAGTGTTCTCCACATCAAGGTGATTTAACTGTGGCCTCTCAAAGACATACCTAACTCTCTTAGCCATCACAACCTATCATGTAAAAATGCCGAGGAATGAGCAAAAAACATACTGGAAAACACATAAGTAAGTGTCCAGGAAAAACCCAAAACTACTAAAAGAGTAAATTTTATGTTTTAAACCTTGAAATACAATACTATAAGGCAAAGTCCATTAAGGTCTTTAAAACAATTTTAACTCTTTCATGACTAGCCACATAAAAAAATGGAAACTGTCTATCAGTCTTTAAAGGAAATGGTAAATCCAGGCATAAAACAAGCAAATTAATCTCACATTGCCTTCAATACCAATTAATTGATCAATTAAATTTCTCATGTAGAAACTGCCCAAATATATCATTCAGCTCAAAGTTGTTATATGCAAACACCTTTCTTAATCTTCAAAAACATTTTTTGAATCTCTAGTAAAAACCTACCTTTGAGGTTCTTTGAAGTTGATCACCAACATATGTTTTACGAAACTGATCCAAGAACCACAGAATTGCCAGCTCTATTTTCTCGTTAGAACACTGAGGCAGTCCGGTGTCCATTAAAGATATAAGCTGAAAAACACTTTTCATGAAGGAAAGAAAAAAAGCTTCAGTAAAAATTCTTAGAGAAACAACATGAAAACATACATTAAAATACTTAGTGTCAATGTAATATAACATATAATTGCTGTAAAAAGTGGAAAAATACAAAAACTTATAAAAAAATATTTTAAAAATCATCTAAAATACTACCACCAAGCGATACTACAATTTGATCTAATTCCTTCTAGTTTTTTCCCTAAGACATACATGTGCCTATACACATACAAACATACAAACATACAGATGTATGTATTATTTTACAAAAAAGTTGCATTTAAATACATATGACACATACATATAAACATAAAATATACATAGACATGAGTAAATATCTATAGTTATTATGCATATAATATTATAAAATATTATATTCATAGGTATGTTATATATAATATTTCAAAAATATAATATTACATAGGTATGTTAATGTAAAATAGGAATATAAAATTTTAGTCAAAAAAGAGTGATACTGAATGTGTAGTTTTAGATTTTACTTTCTCATTAAACCTTTTATTTTTATATAGTGATATATTTTGGGGTAACAGGATTCAAAATACAAAAAACTCACACACAAAACAAGAGGTACACCCATCAAGTTATATCACTTTCTTAATGAATAATAAAAATTTTACCTGAAATAAATTACAAGATGATCTTAACATAATCAAGTATTTTTAACACAAGTATGCAACTATTATCAGAAATTTATAAATAAACTGAAGGTTAAGTTAAATTTCCCAGAGAAAAAAACTTAATTCAGTATAATGAAAAGTTTGGTCTAGAATTTTCAAAAAAGAAATCTTTTATTATCTATCTGTTTTCCAGTGGATGGCAACCAAGTGCCTGATGCTACCAAGAATCAGCATATTACAACCATCTTTCCAAGAGACAGAAGTAGGGGTTGTTGAGAAAGCAGCACGTTTTTCTCCTCTTCTAACTGTGCAAGGCAGGTATGCCCAGCCCTGACCTCCCTGCTTCCATCCATGTATGCACACAAGACACAAACACACGCTGTTAATAGTGTACACGTCCTCCGAAGGATTTTTAAAAATGTGTGCACAGGCAAATATGATTATGCAGTCTCCTCCCAACTCTTTTAAAAATATGGATCATACTATGCTTATGGTTCTACACCTAGCTTTTTGCATTGACAACATATCTTACAGATATTTCCATATTAGATGTAAAGAGCTTTCTCATTCTCTTTTGTGGCTGTTCAACATTCCAGTATATGAATGTACCATAATATTTTTAAGCATTCCCCTACTGATGGACACTAAAGTTATTTATAATATTTTTGCTTTTACAAAAATGTTGCAATTAATCTTGTACACATCATTTCACACTTGTAGTTACAATACACACTTCTAAAAGTCAAACTACTAGCTTAAAGAATATAAACTTCCATAATTTTGATAGCAATTACTAAATTGCCCTCCACAGAAATGGAAACAATTTATATTCCTATCATCAGCCTATGAAAGTGTCTAGATACACACAGATAATCTAGGATGATATTAAACTTTAGAATTTTTTGAAATCTGAAAAAGGCATCTGTAGTTTTCATGTATATTTCTGTCACGTATGTGAGGTTAAAATTTGTCCATGTTTTTCAGTCATATTTATGTCCTTTTCTGTGACCTGTTCATATCCTTTGCAAATTTTTTCTATTTGGTGTCTTTTCATTGCTGATTACTACAAATTCTTTATACATTATAAAATGGAGCCCATTACCTATGGTTGAGCTGTAAATATTTTCCCTCATTTTTCAGTTGTCTCTTGACTTTGATTACTGTATTTTTTAATGCCATGGAGAAATTTCTGTTGTTTTCCTTATGCAGAAAATGTTATTAATTTTTTTCTATGGATTTTGTATAATAACAAGGTCTTACCAGAATCTAAAGTGTTTTTAACATTTACCTCTAATACATTTGAACTTATCTTGAACATTATCTTGTGAGATATGGATCATAATTTGTTCCCAGATGGCCACTCAGCTGCTTAAACACCCTTTCTTTCTCGTACAGTCCGTCTTTTCCTCACCATCTTCAGTTACTCTTTGTCATATACACTAAGTTCATTTATGCTTTCAGATACTTACTGGACCTTTAATTCTATTCCAATGACTTGTCTCACTAACTAGATCTTGACAATCATTTTTTCATAATATTAAATAAATTTTCAAAACATTATATTAATGGCTTTATAATATTAAGGCTACTTTTTCAACATTTAATCATCTTATTTTGAATATAAATTCATATTTCAGTAAAATATAACAATTGTTCTCTTCCCTACTGCCAAAGATTTCTAGAAACAAAATGTCTAGGTTATGGTATATGAACTTCTTATAAAAACTTGGTACTTAAGGCCAGTGTTATGAAATATTTTGACAACTTTTAAAATTTATTTTTATTTATACATTAAGTTACTTATTTAAAATTATCTTTATCAAATATCTTTAATACCACGAAAATTTATGAAAAACAACTTACTAAAGATTAAATTTTAGAATTACTGTAAGCAGTTTTTTTATGTTGTTTCCCCCCATAAGATGTGTTAATTTTATTATCTAATTTTGAGAGAAGGCACAAAGTTGATTTTTAAAGTCTGTGCCTTGGTGAATCAGCATATTGTTGGAGAAATTTTCAGTTAGATACACACATCAAACGTTGTCTCTGGAAACAGGTGTTATTTCAAATGACTTAAATAAGGCATATCTTGTTATTAAATTTTATTGAGTAGGACCTTCCCTTTTCCTACTCTAGTTCTTTATTGATTCTATGTATATGCTCGTTTGTTCTTATTCCCTTTTTATAACATAATTCCAAAATCCAAGGAAAATGTGAAACTAAAAGATAGTTTGTTGGGGGTCTTTACAACTCATGTTAAGGTGCTGATCTGCATTTCCCTAAGAGGAACTGACATCCCCAGCAGGAAAGTAGAATAGAGTTCCCAGCAGGGTAATGATCCATTTGTCATAGAAGTTTTAGTAGTTGTACAAGAAACTCAGCAGCAAGTGCCTGAAATCCAAAATGACAATGGCTTAAACAATATAGATGTTTGTCTTCTCAAGAAAAAAATCCAAGGCAGTGCTCCAAGACTAGTTGGTGCTCCATGGTATATCAGGAACTTCCATCTTGTTGTTACAGTTGCTTCCATTCACATAATCACTTCATGGTCTAAGATGGCTTCTTCAGCTCTACCAATTATGTCCACAGATGTTGCACACACCGCATTCACTTACATCCAGTTGCTGAACATAATCACTTAACTATACCTAGCTGCAAGAGAGTCTAGTAAATCTAGTCTTTATTCAGGTGGCCACATGCCCAGCAAAACAATCAGATATTCTATTATCTATTACTGCAGAAGAAGGGAAGAAAAGATAATGGAACAACCAGTAGTCTCTGCCACAGTGTCCTTCAAAGAATTTTGGCCACCTCTAACAAGTGCTTAAGATCAAAGCATGTAATATATTTGTTACTTAACTTCCAGATTCAATTTATTGTTCTACATTTATTTTCCCTTTCTTAAATTATTTTTGGCAAAGAGCATGAAGGGAATAAAAAGATAAACATATCATTAAATAATTTTGATCCAAGTATAAGCATACTATTTCAAATACAAAGAAATAAATTTTGGATAATTGTTTTACATTCCCCTGGATATCCAATTAACTAAGTAATTATTCAGTCAACAAATATCTACTATATGACTGGTGTGTGCTAGCTGTTCAGAATACAACAATGAGAAAGACATATATATATTCCCAGTTCTCCAAAAATCTATTGTTTGTGGAAGGAAAAACAATAAAACAAGCAATTAGAATAAAGATTGACAAGTGCTAAAATGAACATTACAAAGAAATGAGCAAGGATTCCTAATATTCTATGATGGAATAGGACAAAGAGCGTCCAGAGAAAGGAGAAAGTAAGTATAGCTATCTAGAGAGGCAAGAAAAAGCATGGCTCATTTAAGAGCTGAGAAAAGTTCAAAATAGCTATAAATCAGTCAGTGGCAGCAGATGAGGCTAATAAGATAGACAGAAGTCAGATCATGAAGAGCCTGATGGGCCATGTGGATCTTGATCCCAACAGCAATAGAAAATTCACTGGAGTTTAAGGAAAGCACTGACATAATCAGATCTGTACTTCAGAATGCCAGAGAAGAGACAAGGTGTCCATTTAAATCTGTAGCACAAATCTAGGTGAAAGATCACAGGAGCACAAAGGGCAGGGGAGATAGAAATAACAGGACTAACTGAGATAACTAGAAAGTAGAACTGACAGAATTTGATGACTACGTGGACGCCGGTGAGAGGAAGAAAGTTTAAGGATAACTCCCAGGATTCAGGCTTATGCAACTGAGTGGACAGTGATGGGACACATGAAGAGACTTAAGGCTGGAGTGGATGGAAGAGTTTAATTTTCGTCGCTGAATTGGAGGCACACCTGGGACAGAACATGCATGAGCAACAGTTCTGTAGGTATTTGGAAGTCAGAAGATGAGAATGACTGAAACAACACAGAATCACTGAGCAACACTAATGGCTCAATTGGGGTAAAAATATCTTAGCTGACAATAGCACCTACCTACAGAGGTGTGCAATTTCTTTTATTATCACGCAACAAATTAGAGAAAACAATTTCTTTGGGGTTAAGGTTTTGCCAGGCAGATGAAATAATAATACGGCGGTGAACAAAGAATATAAAGCTTATTCCTTCCCTTATTCCCTTGCTGTGAAATGAACAAATATATATGAAGAGGTACAAGTACTATAAAGAAAAATAAAGTAGGATAAGAATGTTATTTTGGAGAGGGAGGTCAAAGGCGGAAGGGACATCTGACTGAAGTGAGGGAATACAAAATAAACATCTGGGAGAAAGCAATCCTAGCAAAAGAGAAGTTTAAAGCCCTAAAGTGAAAACATTGGTAATATTCAAAAAATAGCAAGGAGGCCAGTATGGTTGAGTTGAATTAGAAAGGATAAGAAATGAGGTCAGAGAAGCAGTACAGGATGCTTTGGACCATGGCAAGGACTCTGGAATTTGTCTCACAAGTGATGGGAAGCCACTGAAAGCTTATAAGTAGAGGAGAGGAGAGTACCATTATCTGATGAGAAAGAAGGTCAAGTCATCCACATGATAGTAGGATTTGGGGGAGAGAGCAAAACTTGGAGCTAGTTGTCAAAGTCTTCAAAGAATGATGAGGGATGATGGAGATGAGCAAGTGAAACACCAGAAAAAACAGAGGATGGTGTAACTGAGAAGAATGGGCCTGATTCTTGGATGGTTTTGCTCAGTGGTTAGAACATCGGCTCGCGGACCAATATGTCACGGGTTCAATTCTGGTCAAGGGCACATATTTCGGTTGGGGTTTGGTCTCTGGCCCGGGTCCGGGTTGTAGGGGAGGCAACCAATCAATGTGTCTCTCTCACATGGATATTCCCCACCCCCCTACTCCTTCTCCCTCCCACTCTATCTGAAGATAAATGGAAAAATATCCTTGGATGAGAATTAAAAAAAAAAAAAAGAATGGGCCTAAAAGAAGCACCACTCCACTAGCACTAGCAAACTGAGAGGATACAGGATGAGTAAGACAAAATCCCTGGGAAACCTCTCAAGAGGCTTACATTCTGGCCATGATGAATGAAACTGCAATGACTATAAAATTATCCTAATTTAATTAGAATTGTGTGGCCTGAGCACAAATATATTTATTTGTTTTCATGATAATTACCATAATTTTGGGGAGGTTTTATGAATATTAACCTTTTCCTGATAAAACAGCACATGGATTTTTAGCAGGAGCTAGGCAGTCTTCCGGTTTGGTAGTGCTCTCCCAGGGGCTGGAAAGGTATCACATAACACACAGCAGGTAACCGTACTACAGTTCTAGTTACTCATAACTTCTTAAGAACTGGAGATTTTAAAATATTACATAAAACATCATTCTTATTTAATTTAAGATTCTCATTTTAAAACACCTAGTCACGTTTTTTTCTAGACAAAGTAGGGAAGAACTAGTATATATCCCACCTTGAACCTGTTTGGTTCTGTTTCCACACCCACCTGCCCCACCACCACTTCTCCCCCGACCCCTGGCCTTAACCCCTTGCCTTGCAGCCCAGTAAGGATCTGCACAGTCCCTGTAGCTATCAATCCTCACCCGGGGAGCGGAAAGGACTGCCACAGCTCCAGCCCCGACCTCCAACTCCACAGGACCAACAGAAGCTCTGGCTTCCCCAGCGGCTTCTCAGAGAGACCCGGGATCACAACTAAGAAATACGGAATAAACACCTCAGAAGTAGACTTCAACCAGTAAGAAATGAGACTCAGAAATAAATGAACCAAGAAACTGCTTTCCCTTAGTCCCCATCTCCAAACACCACAAACTCTCTTAAGGCAAAGTGGCTCCACGTGGTCTTTGGGGGAAAAGCCTAGACATGTGAGCCACCAGGTGTGTAACGCACCACCTAAACAGCTGACTCTCACTATTCATGGTAGTTATGTTCAACAAAGTTGCTGTGAAAACTGAATTAGTGAATATTGAACCACTGCTCCTAAAGGAAATAGAGGGTTAGGTTCCTGAGGAACTATGGTCACAATATTTTCATCAATTGATCAACACATACCTTGTTTTACATGTGTTTCTGGTTAAAGGCACCCTATTTAATATATATTGTTGATTTGTTAATATCGAACTCGCAGCCAGTAGCACTACAACTTGCCTAAACGAAAGCTTACCTAAACACATGCATTTTCTCCGTAAGGCACATTAATAGCCTTCTCGTGCTTAGAAACACCAGCCAGCACTTCAGCACTCTGCGGGAAGGGCCTTTTAAACAGCAAAACCACCAACAAAAAACACAGAAATGCAAAAATGATGGCACTAAACAGATAGCAAAAAGGACACATTTACAGCATGGGAGCCAAAAGAAAAAGGCAGAACATCTGTTCAACCTCACTCGGGAAAATACGCAGCTAGCAACTCAGATTTTTCACCACTATGTGTATGTCCGAGAATGACTACAACAGCACCAGCATGAACATTGATCGGGGTACAAATAAATTTTAGCAAGTACGTAAATTTGCAAAAATAGAATATGTGAATCATGAGGACTGACTCTATTTGTTTTCTCTTATTCTCTCACTTCCTTTTCCTTCATTCTTTCTTCCCTGAAAATGTACCCTTCTCCCCACCGCTTAAAAAATCCTGCATCCATAAACTTCACCTAAGGCTCTGTTTTCTAAAGAATGCAGACTAAAACACAAAACAAATCTTATTTCAAGTTACTTATGATTGCTGCTTAAAAAGAAAATCAAAATTTCCTACTTGGCAAACATACAGAGTCTTCTGTTTACTTCCTGTTATATATTTCTCAGGAAAATAGTGCCAATGGGTATTTCCCTACTTGAGGATAAAAACTTAAAAAAAAAAAAAATCAAACTATAGCAAAAAAGTATGTTTAATTTCCACGTTACTAAATCTGTAATGTTATATTAAAAAATGATATAGAGGTAAATTGTTCACTTGGTTTAAAATGAACCAAAGCATTTTGAGAGGGCCCCATTCATATTTTAAAGTGATTTAATTTGGAAATAATAAACTTAGAGAAACTAAAAATATTTATGTTCCATTCAAATTCAGATTTCATTAACAAGATCTAGTTTAAAGACTGAAATGGGTATGGAATGCGGAAAAAATATTACAGAGAATATTTACTTTAAGGCAGTTGATAATTTAAAAAATTGAGAAACAACCTAACATTTCCAAAGTAAGTGTCTGTTTAAATTATAGTACAGCTTTAGAATATTTCATGTCTAGGTGAAATGTTCACAATATTATGTTTTATTTTCTAAAGTGTTTTGAGGGTTTTGGTGTGTGTGTGTGTATATGTGTGTGTTTTAGTAATATAGTACTTACTATTTGCCAGGCCTTGTCCTCAGCATTTAAAAAATTAACCAATTTAATCCTAAAATAGTCCCAAATGAATTAGGTATTACTAGTATCCTTATTTTAGTTTACAAAACAATAGTATAGTATTGTTTTAAAAAGTTGAAAAATACACATGTAGTGTACATATACCCTCAAGCATGAATTAAAAAGACTCAAGGTCTTTACCAAAATGATAGTGGTAGTTATCTCCGAATTAATATATGACTTCATTTGAATTTTTAAGGGCTCAACAAAAACATGTATTATTTCATTATAAAGATGCTATTAAAAATAAAATATATGGTAAACCAACTCACTCATACTATTCATATATAGGCATTTTCCTCCGTTTAGAATAGAAACACGACCTGCTTCTTATCCAGGCTATGGTCATGAGGTGAACAATCGCACCAGCCACCATAAACGAAGCTTGTACTGGGTAACTGACTATGCATTGCTTTTTGACCAGAGGTATATCATTCCAATTTTGCCACCATCCCAATACACACCAATTCTGCATGCTTCATCAGATCTTAATAAAATAATCTTAAGAAATAAAAGCAACCTAAATTTTCATCATCACACTATTTAAATATATGTTTAAAATATATTTGACTATACAACTTACCAGAGGTTTGACATCTACATATCACTTAACCTCTAAGCCTTGGTATTCTCATAAATAAAAAAGAAAAGAATACCTTCCTCAAAAGGCCAAGTAAAAAATGCTTTACCTAATAATACCAGTTCAATAACTAAGTAAATTTCTGTAAATTACATGGCCACTACTTACCGACAGGATAATTCCCCATCCATTGCGTCATGTTCATCTGTACTGGTGTACGTTAATCTTCCTCCAACAACTGTCCCAACTAAGTACACCAGCCATGCAAGACGTCCTAATATATAACAAGAAAGGAAAATGTTTGGAAAGTATTGTAGGAAAAAAGTTTATTTTTCAGAAGATTCCAAAATTGGTAAAATGATCTATTCTTCCAAATAAATGATAAACTGTTGTGAACCCAGTTCTTCACACAGAGGAGCGCTGGGTTTTAAGTGTATCAAGGCACTTAACCAAGTTCAACCTAAACTTGGAGCGAGCACATTGGGCAGCTTGCTTGTAAGTAGAACAGTAAAAATGAGATTTTAGAGCCAGATAAAACTGTTTGAATCCCAGTTCTCAATTTGTTATGTGATCTTGCATAAGTTCCTTACCCCTTCACATTTCAAGGTTTTCATCTGCAAAACTGAGATAATCATATCTAGTCTGAAGACTTATGATTAAAATTATTTGCAGGCGCTATTATTTGAAAATTCATCTACTTGGTGAGATTGACTACAAGCTCCAAAATCAACACTTGCAGTCATTTGTGGACAAGTACAGAGCAACAAGCAAGCTGCCCAATGTGCTCGCTCCAAGTTTAGGTTGAACAAAGCGAAACTCGGTTTTCCTGTATCATCTCTCATACTATAAACAAGCAAGCATTCTTTTCATGGTCTTTTCTGATGCCACATTTTTTTTTTTTTTGCTGTTTTGTGCTTTTTATTGGTGGTTTTACCATCTTAAATTGCCCTCAAGCGTAGTGCTGAAGTGCCGTCTAGTGTTCTCAGATGGAAAAAAGGCTGTTATGTGCCTTATAGAGAAAATACATGTGTTAGATAAGCTCGTCCAGGCATGAGTTGTAGTGCTGTTAGCTAAGTTCAATGTTAATGAATCAACAATAATGTCATAAGTAGAAAAACACATAAAACAAGGTGATATGTTGATCAATTGATGAAAATGTTATGACCAGAGGCTTATAGGAACCTAACCCATTATTTTTACTAGGAGCAATGATTTAATATTTACTAATTCAGTGTTCACAGCAACTTTATAGAACATAAATACTGAATAATAAGAATTAATCACATTTCACAGAATTTTACAGAAGTCATTATTAATAGACTATGCTCTAACTGTGTGTGGGCCATACACATCCTATATAATGAATTTGATTCTGAAACATTGCAAGTATAATTTTTGGTGAATGTAATAATTGGCCTGCCATAAAGCAGACATTATTTTAAAAATATCCTGTTGCAAATTATTTCTCAAAATGAAAACTATTTTTTAAATATAAATAACCTTCTTTATGTTTTTTATCAACTTAGATTTTTAGATACTGATATTTTTTAGAGCAAGCTTTGCTATTACTAAAAATAGCAAAATTTATAAACATATGCACTAGGTACTCTTCTAAACACTGAAACTATTATCCACATATATTCACTTAATATCACAAATCCCTATTAAAAAGTGCAGAGCTATGATTCCAATATAGGTAACAAATTTCCAAGAGTCCATTTTCATACTATTATGAGATACATATCATTTCCTCTCAAGATTGCTAAAAGGGAATATTCATCACAGTTGTCAATTAACCGGACAAATCTTGGTGATCTGATGATATTTTACAATCTAACAATCTCTTATGTTTATTTAAAACATTGTAATCCCTAATCCTGAATTTTTCTCTAGCTGGCTCCCAAATTTTGACCACAGATAAATGAGATTGCATCTGCCCTTGGGATCATTTCTACGGCTTTCCACACTTCTTTTGATTCCCAAATCACTCACTATAAAATCAAGTATATGTAACACATAAAATGAATATTTGTTAAATAGCTGAATTTAAAATTTTAAAAATCACTTTGGGGGTTTATCATTAATGTGAACATAGAAACATTTGCCTATGAGCTCTTGATATAACAATCCTACCTGAAAATAGACAAAGAATTCACCATGCAAGTAATTTTTATATTCTCTGTTGGAAGATCAACATTAAAGAATACAGGCTGGCTCTGGCCGGTTTGGCTCAGCGGTTAGAGTGTCAGCCTGTGGTCCACAGAGACCCGGGTTCAGTTCCCGCTAAGGGCATGTACCTTGGTTGCAGTTTGTCCCCGGCCCTGGTTGGTCATGCGGGAGGCAGCCACTCGATGTGTCCCTTTCATGTTGATGTTTCTCTCTCTCTCTCTCTTTCTCTCTCTCCCTCCCGCTCTATCTTAACAAAAAATGAAAAAAAGTCCTCGGGTGAGGAAAAAAAAAAAAAAAAAAGAATACAGGCTGTATAATTTAGCTACCAAGAGCACAGCCTGGGTTCAAATCCTGCCTCCATTACTATGCTAGTTACGTAATCTTTCTTGGCTTTAATTTCCCCACTTATAAATATGATGATGATAACATCTGGCTCAGAGGCTTGTGACAAGCACTAAATGGTATTCTGCAAGCAAAGTACTCTCTACCAAAGAGGTTTGCTACAATTAAAGCTAGTTACAATTAGCCATACATACTTTTTTAAATGCTGCTTGTAAAACAAACAAAAAACCCTAAGCTGAAAAGAACAAATTCTCAAGTAAAATACACTCAGAAAATCACTTGCTAAATACCTACTATGTGTCATCTTCTGCTGTAGGGATATAGCTAAATATGCCCATGTATGGGATAGGGTGAAAAGGGAGAGAGACCCCATGCCCATGTATGGCATAGGGTGAAAAGGGAGAGAGACCCCATGCCCATGTATGGCATAGGGTGAAAAGGGAGAGAGACCCCATGCCCAAGAAACTGAACCTAGTGAGAGAGAGAGGTAAACGGTAAACAATGATTGTTTTCAATGCAGTGTGATAAGTATCACTGTCTAATAATAGAAGACAAAATATATTTTTATTATTTAATTCATCTTATACTGTGACCTTCAAATTACAACTTTTATATCAAAGAATACTATGCAAAGATAGTATGCGATCATCTGTGAGCATTTAAAAAATTATGGTAAATTTGAATAAACATTTATATATTTAGAGAAAAATAGAATATACATTTACTCTTGGCCTTATTTTAGAAAGCAGTTGATTTCTGTCATGCAGGAAACAGAAAAACAGGCATTTCTTAACCCTTAGAAACTTCACAACTACTGACAATAAATTAGGGTTCGTGTTATAAATGAACAATGAAATATAAAGGCTATATATTTGATACTAAGCTATCAAATATAATTTTCATATTAAACTGAATGAAAAATGATATTTCTTATACACATTAAACCTTTCCCTAAACCTCAACAATTGCAGTCTGGCAGTATTCAAAATAATAAACATTAAAAAGTTACTCTGGCTATAGAATTACTTCCACAAAGTTTAAAGAACCACATAAATCCACAAATCTAAACTGTATGTAAAAATATAAATATCCAATGCATGAGTTACATATCTATAAATTTAAAAAATATCTCATATTATAATAAGACTAAATTTCCATTTTAATTTTCCATTAATGTTCAGGGCACTTGTTTTAGCAGCTGTTTGAGCACAGAACATTTTTTCCTTTAACAAAATAATTATTGCTGTAATAATCTGTAATTATGGTTTATAACTGCAATAATCCCAAAGAAATCAGTCATTACCATAGATCACAAGTAATCGTTAACTACTGTTAATGACCTATTTCTTAGGGATTATTGTTTTTGTAAACCATGACCATATCACCACAAATATGAAAGAGCAAGACAATATAATACAAATGAGATCATAATATAATAATAAACTTATTTTGTAACATTAAAAGCCATTAAGCATCTAAATTAAAGCACACACAACAAGAGCATATAATTTTCTTTGTTCAACACTAACTGAAGTGTTTAGTCTGCACAAAAGAAATTGAACACTACTACATACAGTGGTACAAACTAGAACCACGTTGGGTATTTTTTGTAATAAAAACCAATCATTTTTTAGTACATGACAGTTATCTTTAAAAGGTAGACAAACTCCTCCCCATTCACCTTTTGACTAGAAGAAAGAAAACAAATATTTATTTTAAAATTTTCTATGTATCAGCATTATGTTAGAGACTTTGAAATATCTCTTATTAAAATCACATAATGGCTCAGTAGTTAGAGCATCAGCCCAAGGACCAAAGAGTCGCAGTTTCCATTCTGGTCAAGGGCGCATGCCTCGGTTTGGTGCCCAGCCCAATCAATGTGTCTCTCTTGTATCAATGTTTCTCTCTTTCCCTCTTTCTTTCTCTCTCTCCCCCTCCCATCCCATTCTATCTGAAGATAAATGAAAAAATATCCTCGGGTGAGGATTAAAAAAAAAACCTACATAATGTATCTAACTATAAAAACTCCTTGAATTTATATTAGTCAAAAATAAAGCTCACTTATTTTATTCAATGAAAAGACCTAATGAACATTAGTAAATTATTACTGTTCAGTTGGGGTTAGGATTAGATTGATGCTGTTCTACTTGTTTATTTTTGCTTTTGTCACCTCTGCTTTTGGTGTCAAATTCAAACCAAGTAGCAAGGTACTTTGCTTATTAGAAGGTGAAGAATTGGGGAAAATATATCAAAATAATTTGCATACAATTATTAAAGTGATTAATGAAGTTACTTAAAATTCAACATAGTATCATATAATAGTCAGATAAAATTGACTGACCTTCCTGAATTGCCATGTCCACAGTTACCCCAGAAGCAGAGTGCAGCAGCTTTTGGTAATTCTGTGCGTTTTGGTCAAACAACTGTACAAGAAGAGTACATGTCTTCTCATATTCACACCTGCTGACAGTGCATAACTGCTCCAACTGCTGAAACACAGTGGCTGTGTCATCCAGTGGATCATCTAAATTATCTCTGCAAGTATATAAGAACAAGAGTGCAGACATTAGAATGTGATGTACTTTTATTCACCACAAATAAACTTTATTGATGTTAAATAAAATTCCATAATGGATAAAGGAATAAAAGATAAATAGATTGGAAGGTAGGAAGTAAAATGTCTATATTGGAAGATGACATGATTGTGTACATTAGAAAATACCAAGAAAAAAAAAGCTACTTGAACTAACAGGTAAGTTTACTGAGATCCTGGCAAACAGGGTCAATATACAAAATTCAACCTTATTACTATATACTAGCAATGAACAATTGGAAATTTAAATTTAAAAAACAGTATCTTCCAAAGGCACCAGAAAACATAAAATATTAATTAAATCTAATAAACATAGGTAAAATCTTAAGGCTGAATACTACAAAACACTGATGAAAGAGATCACAGAAGAGCACCTGGCCGGTGTGGCTCAGTGGCTGAGCATCCACCCACGCACCAAGAGGTCGCCGGTTAGATTCCCAGTCAGGGCACATGCCCAGGTTGTAGGCCCGATCCCCAGTGGGAGGCATGCAGGAGGCGGCCAATCAATGTTCTCTCTCATTGATGTTTCTATCTCTCCCTCTCCCTTCCTCTCTCTCTAAAAATCAATAAAGAAAAAATAAAAAAATCACCGAAGAGCTAAATAAATTAAAAGATAAATGTGTTCACTGGTTGAAAGACTCAATATTGCTTAGATACCAATTTTCCCCCAAAATTAATATATAAATTTAATGCAATCCAGTCAAAATCCTATCAGGATTTTGTTGTAGATACTGACAAGCGAATCCTAAAATTTACATGGAAAAACAAAGAAAGTAAAAGAGCCCAAATCATTTGTTTTGGCTCCCTCTTCAAAAGAATTTTATAGTGATACATACACACATCCAGAAGAGCTCACAAATCACAGGAGCACAGCTTGATGAATTTCACAAAGTGAACACACCAATGTGACTGGCATTCAGAACATCCCCAGTACCTCAGAATCCTTTCTAGTGCCTCAGAAGTCCCCTCTTACATACTCAAAGGAGGAGCACAGATTAATGTGGCCTCATCTTGAACTTCATGGAAGTATACAGTGTACTCTTTTATGTCTGTTGTCCTTTGCTTACTATAATTTTTGTGAGATTCACCCATATTGTTGCAAGTAACTGTAGAAGATTTATTTTCACTAGAGACAAAATAATTTTGAAAAAGGGAAACCAAGATGAAAGACTCATACGACCTGATTTCAAAGCTTATTATAAGACCGGAGTAATCAAGGTAGGGTACTGGCAGAAGGAGAAACAAATAGATTAATGAGAATAGCGTCAAAAAACAGAACCACATGTATGCAGTCAATTAATTTTTGAAAACAGTGCAAAGGCAATTCAATGGAGAAGCAATAGTCTTTTCTATAAATGGTGTTGGCATAATTGGTCATCCATATGCAAAACAACAAAAACCTAGAGCCAAACCCCACATCACATACAAAAACTAATTCAAAATGAATCATAGATCTAAGTGTTAATTCTGAAAATTCATAACTTTTAGAAGAAAAAAATAAAGGCTAAGTTGGACTTCACCAAACTTTAAAATAACTTCTTTTTGAAAGACTATTAAGAAAATGAAAAGGCAAGCTATGAACTGGGAGAAAGTATCTAAAAAACATAAATGATAAAAAAACACTTGTGATCAGAATACACAGACCTCTCAAATCTCAATATAAGAAAATTAACAACCCAACAAAAAAATGGGCATCAGATCTGACAGGAATTTGCCAAAGAACACATAAATAAGCACATAAAAAGATGGGAAATATTAATAGTCATTAAAGGAATGCAAATTTAAACCACAATGAGGCACCACCACATACCTATTAGAATGACTAAAATTTTAAAAACTGACAATATCAAGTGCTGGTGAGGATGCAGAGTAATTGGATCTTATACATTGCTGGTGGGAATGCAAAGTGATACAGCCACTTTGGAAAAGGATTTGGCTGTTTCTTACAAAGTAAACACACTTAACTATGCAACCTAGGAGTCTCACACCTCAGTATTTACACAAGAAAAATAAAAAATTATGTTCATTCAAAAATCTGTATAGGAATGTTTACAGGTGTTTTATTCATAATTGATAAAAATTAAAACAACCCAAATGTCCATTCACAGGTGAATGAATAAACAGATTCTGATATATCCATAAAATGGAGTACTATTCAGCAATGAAAACAACTGCTTACCCAACATGGAGAAATCTTAAATGCACTATGCTAAGTGAAAGAAGCCGTACTAAAATGCTATCTACTATATAAATTCATTTGTACAACACTCTGGAAAAGGCAAACACTACAATACAAATCAGCAATTGACAGAGGCTAAGGGTGAGAAAAGGACTAACTACAAAGGGACCCAAATAACTTTTGGGAGGTGACAAAACAGTTTTATATCTTAATTGTGATGGATGTTATACAACCGTATGCACTTGTCAGAACTCATAAAACTGAATATTTAAAAAGGTGAATTTTACAGTAGGTAAGTTATTCCTCAATTTTTAAAACCGTATGCACTTGTCAGAACTCATAAAACTGAATATTAAAAAAGGTGAATTTTACAGTAGGTAAGTTATTCCTCAATTTTTAAAAATTTCAAGATGAAAATACAACAGAAAGATTTAGTTTTCATTACCTCACAACTATGGCAACAGATTCCAACCGAGAAGTGATAAAGGCCTTCGTGATTTCTGGTGCATAAGTGTCTAACAAGTGGGGTTCAGTTGATTTCACAAAAGGAACTGATGCTACCATCCTTTGCCACAGAGTTAATAAATAATGAACACTGTTGGGAGCAAATTCCCAATGCTACAAAGAAATAAAGCAAATGTTATTTAAAGTAACATATCTTCCTAGAATGAGAATTACAGAGGCAAAATTACTAAACACAGATTTAAAAATTAACTTTTACTCAGATTATATAACCAATGAGCTTAACATAACAAATACTGTAAGTGTAAAAAAGTATAAAGAGGAAACCAACAATTTCTCATTATTCTATCACCCAGGAATGATCACTGTTAAAATGTTAGTATACTTCTTTCCATGAATAGTTTTTCAGAGGTAACATCATGTGGAAAATATGGTTTTAAAACCTTCCCCCAACTTATAAAAAGAATTTTCCCCAAAACCAATCTGTAAAAACATTTTTTTATTTCTTCATATATATTTTACTACAGCTTCTAAAGTCATTCTTCAGTTATTAGATATTTAGATGGCCTCTAAATTTTTATTATAAAAATGTTATAATACAATGGGGAAAAAGAGGGGGGGGCATCTGTAATACTTTCAGTAATAAAGATTTTTTAAAAAATGTTATAACTACCTTGCAACGAACATTTTTAGTAAATACATGTTTAAAAAATCCCCACCAAATCTTACCAAGAAATTGTTTAAAACTATCTACAGTTTAATATCAATTATAGATTTCTATTTACCTGTAGGCTAGTAATGGTAAAATTAGCAATCAATCTGATAACTTCAGGATATTCCTTCACCATAACTAATTCTCCCAGCTGGTAATTTGTCTTCAAACGAGCCAAAAATCGACAAAATTCATGATAATTACCTGGATCAGATAAACCCTAAAACATGAGACAAAAAGAAAGGCTTTTAAAAATACTTAAAAACAAGTCAAGCCAATAACCATCAATAACATTCCATGAGAGCCCAGCCAGTGTGGCTCAGTGGTTGAGTGTTGACCCATGCACCAAGAGGTCACAGGTTCGATTCTGGTCAGGGCACATGCCCAGGTTGTGGGCCAAATCTTCAGAGAGGGGCATGCAGGAGGTGGCCAATCAATGTTCTTTCTCATCAACGTTTCTATCTCTCTCTCTCTCTCCCTCTCCCTTCCTTTCTCTCTGAAATAAATAAAGAAAAAATAAATAAATAAAAATTCCAAGAGAAGTCTTCCAGTTTTCATGGGTACTTATGGTATTTTGTCAACTGGGTAGACAGTAATAAAAGAAAACAAATAATATCTGCTAGATTTAATGCTGGTCATCAATTATTAATAATAAGGAATCTAAAGTAGAAGCTTTACAGGAAACTTTGCACCATGATGGCTAAAGTATAACATTTAGGAACCTGTTATAGTGCACAAAAAATGTGTGTGTGTGTGTGTGCACACGTGTGTGTGTTTTGTGGCTTAAACAGAAGTCAATAGAAGACTTAAAAATATTTAAGATAAAAATAAGAATGGCCCCGCTGCAGTGGCTCAGATGGTTGAGCATCACCCTGTGTACTGAAAGATTGCCGGTCTGATACCTGGTCAGGGCACATACCCCGGTTGTGGGTATGGACGGTAACAGATCAATGTTTCTCACATCTCTTTCTCGCTCGTGTGTGTGTTCTCTCACTCTCTCTAAGTATGTCCTTGGGTAAGGGTTTAAAAAAATAATGATAAGCCCTGGCCGGTTTGGCTCAGCGGTTAGAGCGTCAGCCTGTAGACCAATGAGTCTCGGGTTCAATTTCGGTCAAGGGCATGTACCTCGGTTGCAGTTTGTCCTCAGCCCTGGTTGGGGTCGTGCGGGAAGCAGCCACTTGATGTGTCCCTTTCACGTCGATGTTTCTCTCTCTCTCCTCCTCCTCTCTCTCCCTCCCTCCCACTCTATCTGAACAAATATGGAAAAATGTCCTCCTGTGAGGATTAAAAAAAAATGATAAAAAAATAAAAATAAATCTTACAAAAAAACAAAGAATGGACTCTTGAAACCCTGGAAAACAGCAATACCACCTGAACGTAAGATACATAGCATATGTGCACACACAAATAATAGAAATTTCTTTTAATTCAACACATTTTTATTGAGTACCTATAGCCACTGTACCCCTCAAGCACCTTCCTGTTACTAAATGAAGAGTCATTCAAATAAATACTGCAATGTAGGGCACAAAGTTTAACAAAAATACAAGATACAGAAATAACTTTTGAGAGAGGCTAGATTAAAAGGAAAGAACAAAAAAGGTGCCTCCAGTTGTCTGTGAGCTCCTTGAAGACAGGGCACACATGTTAGTATCTTTAAAGTCTGCGCACTTTGCTCTGTAGCTGGCATCAAATTGAATTTAAAAAGTACTTGTTTAATACTGAAAGAGTTTATAAAAATTTCATTCAAATGAGCTCAAGGAGAGTATATAAAACAATGTCTAATTATTAAGGACAAATCACAAAAAGACATTTTGTACTCATAGGTCTTTTAATACATGTTCGTAATCCCAAAATAATGAATATAACATTCAAATTAACCTTTAAAGCCATGAAACATCAACATCTGGATGGTAAAGCAATCAAGAGAATTATCTGATATTAGCATATTACCCTCCACATATTGAGCATGTAATTAAAACTAGAAAATTTAAAGAATATTGGTAAAATTCCATTTATCAGCAAAACATACATTTTAGTTATACTAAATTGAAAAGTTAAAGCAAATGCACAACATGTAAAATATTCCTAAGAATAACGTGCAAAAACATTTTCTTTATATATAGATACTATATGTCCCCTCAAAAATTAGTAGTAACCAAGAGATTTACATAAACCTCCTTAAATCATCATTTAACCCTTTAAAATCTGTACCTTGTTACAGATATTTTAAATTGACAAAATAAAAAAATGAAACAAAAAATTCCATGTAGGCACACAAAATCACTAATTAATAATGGCTTTACAATTATCTTAAATGAATACTGCTATTGAAGCTTTGCAGTTAGTGTAGAAAGTAGATTTTAAAATCTACAAACTCTTCTTTGTCCACAAGAGGGCAAAAAGACATTTCATAATTTAAAGCCACTTATTCTAATATTAACATTCAGATATATATTAAGTCTTCTAGTTGAGAAGGTAGATATAACTCTGAATTAATCACTTTAGTAATTTAGGTACAATCAAAGAAATGTAGTACCATAATGAAAAGTAAAAGCATAAAATATATTACCTCTATTCACCTAAAAGAATGGGAAAAACAGAAGAGGAAGAACACAGAAATCTGACAGGAAAAGTGCTCATTTCTACTACAAATGAGATATAAGGAAGATGAATATGAACCTCATATTTTCTTCCAGAATAATAAAGTAATGAGTTTACTATGTACCTTTCAGCAGAAAAACTGTACGTATGTATGCTAAGCATTAATTAAATTTCTTCATAAATACCTGAGGGTTTTCAAGTATCCTTTTTACTCCCTTAATTAAATTACCGAGGTACTTGGCACGTTCAGGGCTGCTGAATAAGGACCTTCTTGTAGAAGCAAACTGAACTAAACATGAAAGTGCCTAAAAAAGGGAACAACAAAAGTCATTTTGATTTTAAAAGTAACTATGGCCACACTAGTCTCTACATAAATTTGTTTTTCATTTTTGTGATTAAAAAATCATTATAGAATCCAAGCTAAAAAGGTAACCTATCAATCAGCACCACCACTCACAACTCTTCAACCCCACCAATAACATTTCTATAGATGTATAGTCTCCTCTAATATTTTCATGTATTAAATATGCCCAGAGTGCTTCTAATGACTAGTTCTGTTTGTGAACCCACGAACCAGGTGTTCAACCAAAAAGAAAATATGGTTTTGTGGAAGAATATATTTGGGAAATACTGCATATTATGCACCATGGTATCCTGCAAATGGGGTGGAGGGGGTGACAGCTCCTGTAACTTTACTTAATCTAGCATGTTCCACATTTATTTGATAATAGAATATTCATTAATATCTTGAGGAACAATTTGGAAATGCTGCTGGAAGAGTTAGATACTCTAAAAAATTCCTACTGAGTGTCTGTGGCCTAATCATCTTCCTAAAGTTAGTACTTTACCAGATAATTTCACTCCCTGGCTTCTTAAATCCACTGCTGGAGCCCACTAAAGTCTGTTGGATCATTAAACGAGAAGCCCCAAATTGGTAACTCTTAGGACAAACTGTCCCGTATATGTTTTGTTTTGGTCCACATAACGTTTGCTTGCCTAGTTTTTGAAAATATTAGAATTTGTTGTCAATATTTAAATATTTCAATTTCACACAAAATGCCTGGCTCTCTTGGCAAGGGTGAGAATAAGGACAAAAATCAGAGGATGGCATTTTCAGATGTTCTCCAGTTTGCCTTACCGTTAAAAAAACAAACAATACCAAAGCCAAAACCAAAAAACTTCTTAGGCGATTCTGATGTGTAGAAGGTTTGGGAACTACTAGTGTATTAAAAATATCCAGGGTTGGGGGCCCTAAAACAGCTACGTTTGAATCTCAGCTCCAATAGTGAGTTTATTGCCCTGAAGCAAGTCACCTTAGCCAGTCTGGTCTGTCCCCTTGTCTGCAGTGAGGATAACAATACTCTGCAGGGCCACTTTGAGGATAAAGTGGCATAAGCACCATAGATTAATAGGGTATGCCCAATAAAGGTTATTCTCTCTTAAAGCAGTTATATTCCATTTTATTTTTTAAGCACCGATATAGCTTATCTGTTTTACTGAAAACATAACTGTACATGAAACCATGGTTTTTAAACAACTGAAAACAAGATTATTCTGGTTACAAGACAGAAGGCTGAATGAAGCTCTGTGACACCTGGAATCGGGACTGTCCTGAGAAACCTAGTTTAAAACCCACCATCTTAAAATCCTAGCTTTGAGAGCATACACATTTGTAGTAGTTGTTTTTAAAAGAAGAGTATTTTTGTGAATCTGTTTCTCCCTTCTAGGCAAGAACATATCTAAACAAACAGGCCCCTGACATGCACTTTTAAGTCTGCAACACCTTTTTCAGGAAATGGCAGTATTAGAATTCCCCAACTTTACTCCTACAAGCTTAGATATTAAACTGACAACTTTTTCTTCTCTCTCTCTTTTTTGTTTTTTTTCAATCTTGCCTGGTTTCTATTTTAGATCTCACAAAGAAGGGGTTCATAGTCTCAAAGATCTGGTATATAACCAACGAGTTTCAAGAATTTTGGGGGGGAGTGGGGCAGCAACCGGTGGAGGGTGTCAATGGGGGAAAAAGAGAAACATCAGTAACAAAAATAAATTAAATTAAATAAATAGAATGTTTTAACGCCACAATATAATTGGATTAAAATTAGCAGCTGAAGCGATGAGCAGCTCTGTTTCTTGCTCAGAGATACCTGGTGGGGAGGGCCTGGCATGTGGACGACAAGGAGGCAGGCAGGACGGGGAGCTGGAGAGAGGGTAAGAGCAGGGAAGGAAACTGATCGTGTGGCCAGCTACTGGGCTCAGGCTCACGGTGCAGTGGAATGTATTGTTGACTATAAACAGAATCTGACAAACAGCTTTAGCAATGCAAATCCCAGAAATGTGAGAATTCCTGTGAGAGGTAAACCCAACCAAGAATATAAATAGAAGTTTTCAAAGTAAATCTCTAACAAGCTTAGATAAGGATCACAGGTACTTCTTAATGAAATAATAAATGATCTTTACTTACTAACTGAGACAGTAGTGGTGGAAGTGAATGATACAAATTGAAGAAAAGCTCCAATGTTTCTGGTTCCAGGAAAACTAGAAAAAAAATTATTTTCTAATACCATCACTTTCAATTCTGTGATCTTAACATAGTAAGACTTTATCACACAAACCAAGTGGCATGTGGTCACTCTTTACAGTTAGGCTTAATTCCTTTTTAATTACTAGTTATTTTATTTTGAAAGAAAAAACAATACAGAGATAGACATTAATTAGCTAAGAGTATATTTCTGTGTAGCATCTATAGTTCTTACTGAGATAATTGTCTTAATATTTTCATTTGTATTAAAAATTCTAATAGAGTAAAAAATAATTAAAAGTATATAATAAAAAACCACTGTGACCTACTCTACTTCATCACCTTCCAACTCTTAGGTATATTTACATATCTATTTCTAAACAGCATGCTATATACTATTTCTTTATTCATTTTACTTCAGACATTAAGTGAATTTGTGACAGTATATGAGGCTTTGGCTGAAATCACACCCCACTACTCTCTCCATAATTTATCCTTTCTTAAAAATGCATCCACTAATATACCAACTCAGGATCAAATCACTTCTAAGTGCTGACATTTATTATTATTATTATGTAAATAATATCAACAGCTGAGCCAAGGAGTACACTATAATTACATCATAGTTCTAACACTCTCTTGATTTAATCACATCATTTTTTCTGTGCTTAGTTGTCTATATTACTAAATCTTTACAAATGCTCTGACAGATCTGCAAAATGTTCTTCATGCCATTTTCCATATGATTAATAACATCAAATAACCTATCATTTTCATTTTCACTGCTTCCTCCCAGAGCCTTCAACTTGGGCTGGTCGTTCCTAAATTTGTTACATAATTATCTTGTTTTTATGTCTGTACATTGTCATCTTGGGTTGAGGCTCCCATTTCCCAAACCCTGTATCTTCCACTTCTTTTGGCTTGCATATCAAATAGCTTCCTGAGAACAAGTAAATAAGAAATAAATTTCAGGAGAACTTGCCAGTCTGATAATGTCTTTATTCTATATTATACTTGATAATTTCAGTCTAGGTTGAAACTTATTTTCCCTCAAAAGTCTGAGGATATTACTCCACTGTCTTCTAGCTTCCAGGACTGCTGCTGAGAAGTTTAGAAACATTCTGGATCCCAATCCTTTGTAGGTGACCTAGTTTTTTCTTTCTGGCAGGTTTTAGGATCTCCTATTTATCCTTATTCTGAAATGTCATGATTATAAAGCTTGGTGTATTTTTTCTATTATCTGAAAATTTATGTCTCAGTGCTATGAACAGTTTTTGGTATTATTTGTTTGTAAATTTCCTTTTGTTTTTCCTGTCCTTTCTCAAACTCCTAATAGATGCCATACCTCCTAATTTCATGCTCTAACACTCTTGTCCATATCCTATCAAATCTCTCCTTGTTTTTTTGTTCTACTTTCTGGATTTTTTAAAACTTTATTGGCTAAATGTTTTATTTTGGCAACCATCTTTTATATTTAGAACATTCTCTGAACAGTCTTTTAAAAACAATACCAGATTCTTGTTTATGCATTACCTCTTTATCTCTCTGGAGATAATAATTATACTTTTTAAAAGTTTACTTCTACTCTTCACTTTGTCTCTGTTTCTACTAACTTATCTTCCTTTTTTAAAAAAAGCTATTTTGCGCCCTTGAGCCACTGAGCAGTGGTTAGAGCATTGGCCCACGGACCGAAGGGTAGCAGATTCAATTCTGGTCAAGGGCACATATCTGGGTTGCAGGTTTGGACCCTGGTCCCAGTTGTGGCCATGTGAGAGGCAACAAACAGATGTCTCTCTTTCACATCAACGTTTCTCTCTCTCGCTTTCTCTCTCTCTCCCTCCCTCCCTTTCACTCTATCTAAAAATCAATGGAAAATATCGAGTGCAGATTAAAAAATCATTTTTTAAAGATAATTACAGATTCATATGCAGTTGCAAGAAATAATAGAGAGACTCCATGTACCTTTTACCCAGTTGCCGCCATTGGTAAGTTCTTAGAAAACTACAATACAGTATCACAATCAGGAAACTACATAGAAACAATTTACTAATCTTATACATATTTCCAAATTTTACATGTACTTGTATGTGTGTGCACTTAGTCTGTGCAATTTTTATTAGATGTATTGGTTCATGTACTCATAACCACAGTCTAGATATGAAATCTCTTTTAATTATTTGTCCCTAATTTCCACATTAGTTTTCACAAAATCTATGGTGTTTCTCTACTATATCTGATATCCCTGAACGTGAAATCTCTCCAGTTTAACTTCTCCAGGGAAAAAAGCTTTGGTCTTGGGAAGAGAGGGAAGTGCACCCAGGGAAGAGAGGGCAAAGGCCGTCACCTCGCTGCACCGGGGGCCAGGGAAGAACTGGGGGGCAGGGAAGAACCGGGGAGCTGGTGCAGAGCTTTTTACCAAGCCCTCTCAGCCCTGTTTATCTTATACTTGATCATCTCAATCTGACTTCAGGAATGTCCTAGTGCCATCATGTTTCTGGGATGTGTGAGAGCAAATCAGTTTGCTTTTCTTGGTAACCCTCTCTCTAAGAAAATTCTGCTCTGCTTAGTCAGTTATTCTTTTCATTCTCTTTATAGCTTTGAAAAATATGTTGATATCTATTGCCAAATGTTGTGTCCTCTCCCACTCCGTTCATCTGAAGTTTCAAATCAGAACTTTTCATATCCCAGCTCCCACACTCTGTTTCCCCTAATTCTACAGCAGTCTTTTCTTTTTTTCAAAATCAAAATATGGGAGTTACTCTGATGTTAACTGGGGAATACGTTTCAATACCAGGTATCAGCAGCAACCTTGGGTTACAAATCCCTTTGAACTTTTTGACAGCCTAGCAAAAAATACAGGTAACTGCACATAGGCAATTATATTGCTTAATTCTATGCCTCGTATGCTGACTCACCCTCACACTAAATTATTTCTTACTTGTTCTCCAGGTTGTTGGAATCTGCACTGTGCAAAGATCATCTGCAGATTCATCTGCTGAACTGCCAATGAAGTCGAAGTTAAGGCAGTTGAGGACCAGTTTCAAGACCTGCATTACTAGATTTTGTTGACCTTCATCCTGAAGATTTAAAGGTTTGGCCAACACCTGAAAAAAGTTCAAAGTACAATAAAACTTCGTAAAATATGTCAATAAACAAATTTTCGCTAATTTAAATAATTCTTCAGTAGCAAATTAAAGTTAGCAAAAAAGAGTTTGCAAAGTTATACTGTTGTATATATTAGAAAAAAATGTAAGATCACTATAAAAATCTGTAACAACAGACTATTTCCATGTTTAATTTTGTAAAATAGAAATAAAAATTTTACTCTTAACTGTAACTTGTAGGTCACTCTCAAGTTTTAAGAGAACAAATACTTTGCACAGCACAAATGTATAAATGTATGGGATTCATTCAAAGGTTTCTTGGAACAAGCTGAAATATAATGTTCTTTTATGCATGAATGATCCCTGTGCAGCTGGCAAAGGTCCTCCGAGCTGTCTGAATGTGGGAGGACACTCACAAGCTTCTGGAGACCAGTCCTGACCTCTCCTCCACAATGTTCATCCTCACACAACCCAGATAGATTATATCTCCTAGAGATACATCATAAAATACTTGGGAAGAAATGATATGAAATGTGGGCTTCTGCTTCAAGAAGAACACAACAAGAAATAAACGTGTTAGGCGAGGGACAGAGATGAAACAAGGACGGTCATGAGTTGTTACTACCACCTGGCTGCTGGGTCCAGAGGAGTGCATTAGACTATTCCATTGTCTTTCCTACATGTTAAAATTTTCTATACTAAAAGAAAAATTTTAAAATAACAAGGCCTTTCAGCCTGGTCTCATGTGGAAGTTATCATGTCACTATACTACAGAACTAAAACAAGTAGAAAAGAGTGATTAGTGGAATATATTTTGGGAAATGCTGTGCTGTACCATTTAACAAGCTTGAGTAGTATGATGGAGTCCCTCTATTACAAGAGAACACAACAGAATTACAAATAGCATTATCTCTAGACCAATACGACACAAAGTAACAAGTGGGAAAACAATAATTCCCTAAGAAATTATTAAAGTCAACTACCTTGGCTCAACTATGAATAAATACTCATAGCTGATGAATTAGGAAAACCTACTATCATTTTATTGGTCATCTATACACCATTAAGGTATGGGCAGGGCAAATAAAAAAATTAAGTCTTATTTAGCTTCTGTGATATATAATCTACAGTAGGAAGACAATGAAACTACTATCCAAAGACAAGTTTTTCAATACTCTTTGGATTTTGCTTTATTATATTCCTAGTGAGTAAAAGTGAATTTTGGGGAACCTCTTACAGATTAGTGCAAATCTACTATATTTAAGAGTGTCCACCATAACTCTTCAAAAGGCAGAATGGGGGAAGGGGGACTCACTTAAAATTCTTTTGAAACTTAAAATATCCTAAATTCTCAAACTAGAATATTGAATTATTAGATAACTCACCTCTTTTAGAAGAGAGCATGCCAGAACTAAAATGTCTTTGAGAGAAGTGTCACGAAATGAGGTAGCTATTTTCCTGTGTTTTGCTGAAGGTCTGGAATAATCAACCTAAAAAGATCAAGATGAATTTATTTAACCAGATTTACCAAAGAGCAAAACAAATTTACTAAATAAGAAAAGGAATGGAAATAATAATTAAAGAATCATAAAGTATAGAGTTAAAAGAACTTTAAAAAAATCTACTGAGCCCTGGCCAGTTTGGCTCAGCAGTTAGAGTGTCAGCCTGTGGTCCAGAGAGACCCGGGTTCGGTTCCCGCTAAGGGTACATACCTTGGTTGCAGTTTGTCCCCGGACCTGGATGGGTCGTGCGGGTGGCAACCACTCGATGAGTCCCTTTCACATCGATGTTTCTCTCTCTCTCCCTCCCACTCTATCTGAACAAAAAATGGAAAAATGTCCTTGGGTGAGGATTAAAAAAAAAAAATCTACTGAGATAAGTGACTTGCTTAGGGCTACTCAAAAAGTTAATGGGAGAGCCATGGTTAGAACCCATGCTTCTGAATTGTTTTAATTCAGTGCTCTTTCTCCAAACCATACGGATCCCAAAATAAAAACCAACAACACCAGAATTGGCTATACTTTCAGAAGCAATATAAACACCTATTACAGATACTAAGATGATCAACTCCTGAACCATGAACCATGCTTCACATGAAGCCAGTAACAACTTCCCTGTTCCTCAGACTCCACCTTTAATGAGGAATCTCTAAGATAATCTTTAAATTCTAACTTTCTGTAAATCAGCAAACTGATGAGTTATATAAAAATTCTTCTATGTAAAAGTGATATTTCTTTTTTTTTTTTTATCCTCACCCGAGGACATTTTTCCATTTTTTGTTCAGGTAGAGTGGGAGGGAGAGAGAGGAACAGAGAGAGAGAGAGAGAAACATCGATGTGAAAGGAACACATTGAGTGGCTGCCACCCACACAAACGACCAGGGCCGGGGACAAACTGCAACCCAGGTACGTGCCCTTAGCGGGAACCAAACCCAGGTCTCTCAGGACCGCAGGCCGACACTCTAACCGCTGAGCCAAACCGGCCAGGGCTAGTGATATTTCTATATAAACAAGGTACATCATTGATTTCATATATCCTTGGTATTCTAAAAAGAAACCAAGGCAGAAATTATAATAAAAAATCTGATTTATTTTATCATGAATATTTTATTCATGATAACTTTTAAGAATTTACTAAAACTGGTTCTTGAACCATATATATATATATACACATATATATATATATAGTGAAAAGTATACTATTAATGTCATTAATAATTTCATTTATCAATAGGAGACAGCAAGCAAAGCTAAAGTCTGAAACCCAAACAATTGTTAACACCATGGACTATAGTATTTCTTTTGCTATTTGGAAGAATAAACCATTTTCCTTGCCAATATTTGTAGATTTTTAAAAAGTAGTGAGCTCAGAATTGATTATCTGATACTTCCTAAGCTCCATCATATAATTCAGACTATACTTAAATGCCACTTACTTATAGAAACATGGAACATAACAGAAGGTCAAAGTGATTGCAGAAAGCTGTTATTGGAATCTGTATCCAATATGTAAGATTTGAATTAGCATTTCCAGCATTCCTCCCTTCTTTCAAATTAAACTTCAGTCTGTCAATCCTACAATATTTCCCTCTATATAAAAAAGCTGTCCTTAATACAAATCAACAGTAGCACACAGCATTACAATAGCAATTTATAAAACATTCTTAACACGTTACTCACTGACTCCTCCAACTAACCTGTGAGATATAACTTATCCTCTGTTGACATATTAAAAATTAGTTTATAGACACAATGTCTTAAACCAACCTCTCTCTACCACCATACCGGATCTGTAACACAGAGAACCTTGGGTTTTTTGAGCACTGGTACATTAGGCCATGTGCTAGTAGCTTACCTAATATAAGGTCCATAGAAGGTGTCACTTTCACTTTAAAGACAGTAATATGTAAGTTTAAAGACACTAGGAAGTGTGTGCAAAGTAGTAAGCAACAGAGCTAAAATACAAATCCTGGTCTTATTTCAGAGTTCTCTCCAAGGCCTACATGCTTATTTTACTTTAGTTACTCATTTAGACATCCAATTTACTGAGAAGAGAAACTAGATCAATTTTTTATAGCATACTTATATGCCTTTACCATATAGGCAAAGGATATTTTACTTCTTGATGATTATACTGAATATACTCCAGGAATAGTAAACTATGCTTCTAAAAAAGCAAGATAATATCTAATACTATGAACTTTTAGGAAACTTAGATCTGTTTCTTTAAAAAATACATCCTTTTACTGACACTACATAAAGCAAAGCTAAAGTCTGAAACCCAAACAATTGTTAACACCATGGACTATAGTATTTCTTTTGCTATTTGGAAGAATAAACCATTTTCCTTGCCAATATTTGTAGATTTTTTAAAAGTAGTGAGCTCAGAATTGATTATCTGATACTTCCTAAGCTCCATCATACAATTCAGACTATACTTAAATGCCACTTACTTATAGAAACATGGAACATAACAGAAGGTCAAAGTGACCTTCTGTAACATCTGATTTTCATCATGCTTCCACCTGATTCAGAAGTACTTAAGAAATTCTACTTGAAATTATAAATGCATAAAATCAGGCTGAGTGACATATGTTCAGAAGTCATATATTTTTTTTACCGTACAAAACCCAAACCACACTTCAGATTTTGAAGCTTTTTTTCAAAAGGCAATTGGTTCTATACAAGATAAACCTGGAACATCTTGTACCAGAAAGTAAGAAAATGTTCAAAGAACGGTAAATAAATGTCAAATGGACATAGAAACTAGCTTGAAAGGGTTCCTGCTGGCCAAATCTGAAAAATTTTGAGCATCAAAATATGTCAGGAACAAAATACAGCCTATTAAATAAAGTAGAAAAGTAGGAATCCACTCTGATATAAATAAATGAATAAACTGAAACTCTGATGAGAAATGAGGTATTTTCAGAGTTTTAAAATACCTCCCCATAAAATATTTATTATTTACGAAGAGTAAATAGTAAATCTACAATTAAAGAAGCCTGGGAGAGACAATCTTAATCAAGTGACCAACGTGAATGTCATTAGTAATGTAACAAATCAAATCGTGTGCTTCCCGAGAGGAGATGATGAGAGGACACAGTATCACTTCTACGATATCCTAACAAATATGAATAATCTGTACCTAGTAAGGAAGGATCATCAGACAATCCCAAATTGAGGGACATATTACAAAATAACTAGCCTTCACAAATTCCAAGATCATGAAAGTAAGGGAAAGATTGAGGAATTTTTCCAGACTGATGGAGACTAATAAAACATGTCTAATAAATGAGATGCATGATCCTAAACTAGTTCCCTTCTGGGACAAATGGTGAAACTTAAATGGAATAGGAGGATAACAGTAATATGTCATTTAATTTTCTAATTTTGGTGGTTGTATTGTGGTTATATAGGAGAATGTCCTTGTGTGTAAGAAATACACTGAAGTGTTCTGGACAATTTAGTGTCAAATGGTTGAGGAAAAATCTTCTTTGTATTATACTGTCAAGTTTCCCGTAAGTTTAACATAGTTAATTTAAAAAAAACAAATCAACATGGGTGCTCACTGAATCCTACTGTTATTAGAACTCCACATTACCTAGTCTTGTCTTAACTCACGCACGGAAACCCCCACTACCAGGGCAGTCTGTATTCCTATTATGTTCTGAAGTAGGAAATGGGGGGAAAGCTAGTATTTAAGATTAGCAAAAAGCTGATGAATGCATAGGGCTGTACTATTCTCTTCACTTTTATGAGATAAAATATTCCTACTAAAATTATTTTCAAATATATTTTTTATTATTTTTTTTTAAAAGAAAGTTACAGTTCTTCAGACATATTTACAGAGTCTGATAGGATTAGCCAAAATCCTTGTCATAATGTCCCTGCCAGCACAGTAACTGTTCTAGGTACTATTACTACTAGTCCTGGAGATACAGACATAGATACTGGCATATATCCATAAGGTAAGAAATCTTTACATTCTCTGGGGAGGTGACTGGCTCTGGTAAATTAAGAGATCACTTTAAATTTTAACAATCCTTCCAGTAAATCTAGAAATACTTTCTAATTTCTGATTGAACAGAAGCAGAAAATAGTTATTTTGAATGATTTCTTTTTACACACAGAAACTATATTGTCTCTCCAAAGGGAGTTGGCAAGTGATCCTGGCAAGCTCTCCTGATGTGTGTGCATTTGTGTGTGTGTGTGTGTGTGTGTGTGTAAATACGTGTATTTATATATATGTGGGTATATACACACAAGCACAGACTATTCAAGATGACAATTTTTACATAGAAATACCACATTCCCCTTTATTGCAACATTCCATACAGAACCAACTTCTGCTTTTGTTCTGTTTAGAACCATGTTAAATACAAAAGTGAATAGGAGCAGGTGACGATGTGCTCAGCTGCTGAGCTCATAAAGGCACTACTGGGGGCAGGCATGGCTTCTGAAAACTCCCCTTGTACAGGGTGAAAATTCATGCTAGCAAGTGGCAAAGTGCCAATGGCCTGCTCTTTGATGAGTCCTGCTGTGTACCCATTGTCGTGTATCAATTCACCAAACTGCTTCTCTTCTATTTTGTAAGCAGTAAAGGTTTGTTTCTCTACTGCATGTAATTTATTTCTTATGGTTAGTATATTACTATATATACAGAACATAAAAGGACAATTCTCCAATTGCCATGGAGCAAGGACCATGTCTAATTCTCTATTCTTTGTAGTACTTTCTACTATTGCTGTTACTTTCAATAACAATGAAAGTGTTCCAATACTTATTATTCCACCAACAGGACAAAAAAAAAAGACTTGACTATTCAGAGTTTTATGCCACATAAAGAAGATTTTATATCAAAGAAATGGCATTACTTAGCAAACTTCATGTCACCATTAGACGGAAAGGCTTACCACATTCATTTCTTGAGTCAGTTCTGAAAGGATTATTACTCCTATTATGCAGTGTTCCACAGTACCCTTTGGAGAAAATAACCAAGATTAGACTAACTGGAGATATGTGATTGGTTCTTACTATGTAAACCAGGTAATATTTACAAGTAATTACATACTGAAACATCACATTTTCTTAATCATGCATCGATTAAAATATGTAGAAAAATCACTATAAGATCCACAAATAAAAAGAATTTCATTTTATGAAGGATACATTTAGAGCTGAGTGGATAAAAGCTCACCAATCTTAGAACTGTGTGATACTCTACAAAATGTTTTCAGCACCTAGGACTTATAATAAACTAAACCTTGATATATAAGTTTGGTTTAATACTTTTCATAAAATCATGAATAAGAATGAACAAAAAACGCTTTTCAGCTCCATAAATCTGCTTGAAGGCTACTGAGATAGCGGCATTCAATAAATAATTAATAAATAGCTTAGGAACTAATTTAAATCCCTCGATCTAATATGAGATTACTTAGTCTCTTTTAATACTATTTAATAGTACATGTGTGCGCATTCATTATGTATCTATAATGAAGGCACCGAAAGTGCCCAATGCACTGAGTAAATACATGACTATCAATAGGGTATACAGTTTCATAGCTTCTGTATTTTTTTTTAATTTAATCAGTTTCCAAATTAATCTTAAAACTTCTTCAAATCAAAATTCAGACTTTATGTGCACATTATTAACAAACTGCCCTACTGCAAACTCAGAATGGGAGTATGAAATAAATGTAGCATCCAATGATAGTGTAATCATAAAAAAACAGTAACATAGATGATAGCTTTTCAAGTTTTAATTTTATAGTTGGTCATTCCCTGACTATCACAGAATTCTACTAACACTGGGCCACTAAGTGTAATTAAGTTCAAATTATCTCATAATAAAAAATGAACAAGAGAAATGTGCCATAATCTACATTTTAATTCTTTAAGACAATCTGAACTGCTTGAACTGAGCTATAAATTTCCTATTACTGAAGCATCCATCCTCTATAGGTACCCAGCCAATGCTCCTCAAAGTGGTTCCCTGAGCAACTGCTGGTCCATGAATCTGCTGGTGGTCTGCAAACTCATTTCTAACCTGAAAATGGTTTGGTACTGGTCCATGACAAGATAAAAAGTTTGCAACGGAATATAAAATAGCTAAGTCACTAGATATACTGTTTAGTTCAGCTGGCATTTTTTCATAGCAAGTTTTTCTGGATGAAATGAGCACCATGTTGATTTACATAATGATATAAACTCCTTATTTTGTTGTGGGCCAGCAATTTGAATAGCACTGCCCTAGACAACAGTAGGATCCCCTGGGTATGTGCCTCCTGGGGAAGGAGGCACATAAATGTTTGGGGTATGGCGGCCACAGACTGCAAAAACAGAGAAAAGAAGATGTACAAAACTTGAGGCTATTAAAGATTTAACAAACAGAAATTTTCGTACACAATTCACAGAAGCTGCTAATACCCAAAGGAACCTTACAGTACTACTACTTTAGAGTACTAAAACATTAAAGTCAATTGTCTTCTCATGAATCAAGGTTAGATGAAGTCAAATACCAAGAAAGCAAGTGCTTTTCTTTTTTTGATACTATAATAAACTTTGAAGATAAAACATTTTCTGTTTCTTCTAATCTTCCAAAACTGACAAAAGCACACTAAAGCCCAACCGAAGCTCAACTTACCAGCCACTAAAAAGGGAGCTTGAAAAAAGCTAGACAACAAGAACGATTTCATTCCATTGTTTCAACCTTGATTAAAAAAAAAAAAAGAACTTCGAAGCCTATTTTTGTCTATGCTTATGATTCTTAAAGAGCTGTGTGCAATCTTAGTAAATGACAAGAGAGGGGTGCTGTTGTGATAGGCAAAATTACAAGTACAACTCTAACCTGAGAAACTGGTCTGTCTCTGAATAAACTACCTCTGTCTGCACCAGGGCAGATCCCAAGGCTAAAAACACACTTATTCCTGTGAAGTTTTAGATCATCAAATATAGTAAGTCCTCACTTAATGTCCTTGACAGGTTCTACTACTTTAAGCAAAATGACTTAAAGAGAAACCAATTTTACCAAAATGTTCATTGATATAAATAAGGTTAAGTTCCTATGGCAGCTCATCAACATTATAACAAAATGACATTTGAGGACCTGCTGTATTGTTAACCATGGTTCTAACAATATGAATAAAAGAGTAGAACAGTCTAGTATTTCATTTTCTGAGGGTTCCAGGATTGCACTATATAATAGAGTTAAATCTCGCACAGGGATTAAATTTGAAAGTTACTGTATAAGAAATAAAATCAAAGAAAGACCAAATTGCCCCCAAATGCCAATAAACCAATAATGAACCATCTCTCAATTATTCCAAACTGCCAGTTCGTCCTCGAGAATTTTAACAGATCACTGCTGCTTCTGCACAGCGCTAGCTAAAGTACTTTTCTTGCAAGTAGGGTTAAAGTTTGTATGAAAAAATACATGTCTTTAAACATCTGAAACATACTGAACAGAGCATGCAGGTCATCCTAAAAGACACACAGGGACAGGAAATCACAGATTTAGGTTTCCCAAAACTTTAATCACTTACGTTGAAAACATTCTTGAAAAACTAATATAGTCAATGTAGTATAATGTAAAAATGAAATATATATATTTTTGTGTGTGTGTGTGTGTGTGTATATATACCTTAAGTTAACAAACTTGTTGAAATGCCAGCTCTATGCATCACTAGGTCACTGTGCAACTTTATGTAAATTACTTAACTTTTCTATGCCTGTTTTTTTTTCCTTTACAAGATTAAATTCACTTCACAGAGATGTAATGAGCAATACACGAAAATGTTATATATATTTTTTGTATATATACAGTACATAGATATACATGTTAGAAATGACAGAGTATATACTTTTGAAATTAGAAAACACTGTAATTTGCATTTTTCTTGACTGGAAATTATATAATGGCAAGGTCCTCTTTTATTGGCTATAAAATCGAAGGACCCAGAGAATAAATAATAAATCATATGGTAGTGGTTGCCACAAAACAAACTATACAGCTTTACTAACAGCAGTTTTTAAAATAAAAAATGATGTTCTCATAATGTTATAATTATAATGCCTTTTTACCTGAAGAAACTTCTTCACATCAGCAATAATTTCTCTGAAGACAAACTGGTCTTTCTGAACTTCAAACCACCCCAATTTAGTGATTTTAGCAATGACTTGAATTAGGGCTTGGATGACAAAGGGAGCCAGCTTGGGTTGTGATGCCACATAATTAAGAATGTAGTTTCCTGTAAGAAAATGTTCTGTGATCATTTGGTCTTTTCACTAACATAATGTGAATCATGTGAAAACAGGTGGTGATGACATGTTCTTTGACAAAAAGTTATTCCCTGTAAGATATGTACTTACTTATTAGTCAGTTCCACTAAAAGACTTATTTAGAAAAGGCAAATTTGTTCCAATTCAATTGAGATATTAGTGGATAATTTGAGTATAATGCAAATGTCACTTTCATTCTGCATGATTTCTAATAGAAAACAAATGCTAAGCATACAGAAAACTCCAACCAGGCCAAGCGAACCAAGCCGTACGCACACACCTCATCAAAGAAAATATACAGATGGCAAATAAGCATTTAAAAAGATGTTCAACATAATATGTCTTGAGGGAACTGCAAATTAAAACAACTGTAAAATATTAACTACCACACACCTATTAAAATGGCCAAAATTCAAAACTCTGAAAACATCAAATGTTGGCAAAGATGTGGAGCAACAGGAATTCTCATTCACTGCTGGTAAGAATGCAAAATGGTAGTCACATGGGAAGACAGTTTGGTAATTTCTTCTAAACCTAAACATATCCTTACCATACAACCCAGCAATCACTTTCCCTAATATTTACCCCAGGAGAAAACATATTTCCACATAAAAACCTGCTTTATTGCAGCTTTATTCATGATTGCCAAAACCTGGAAGCAATCACCTATTCTTCAGTAGGTGAACAGATAAACTGCTATATCCAGACAATAGCATATTATTCAGTGCTAAAAAAAAAAAAGAAGAGCTACCACACCATGAAAAGACATGAAGGAACCTTAAGCAAGTATTACTAAGTAAAAGAAGCCAATCTGAAAAGGCTATACAGTGTACAATTCCAACTATAGGACATTCTGGAAAAGAAAAAATTGTGGAAACAGTAAAAGGATCAGTGGTTGCAGGGATTAGAGGGGAGGAAGGGATGAATAGACAGGACACAGGATTTTTAGGGCAGTGAAACTATGCTGTATAATATTGTAATGGGGATATATGTCATTGTACATTTATCTAAACCCATAGAATGCACAACACTAAAAGTGAACCCTAATGTAAACTATGGACTTTGGGTAGTAATGATGTGTCAATGTAGGTTTATTAAGTGTAATAAATGTACGACTTTGGTGCAGGATGCTATTAATGGGGGAGTTTAGATATGTGTGGGAGTAAGAGGCATACGGGAGCTCTGTATTTTTTGTTCAACTTTGCTGTGAACCTAAAACTGCTTTAAAAAATAAAGTCTATTCAAAATGTGTGTGTGTGTGTGTGTGTGTGTGTGTGTGTGTGTAAAAGTAAGTCAAACAAAATAATGTTTTGTGACTTGGGTTTTTAATATTTAGACCCTTATTTTTTAAACTGTAAATTTCTCTATTGCTTTCCTAAGCATACAAATCCATGGTTGCATGGATAAATCTTCCTCTAGATTTTCTGCAGTGTCTATGACTCTGGGTGCTTAGAGAAAGATTAGTCAAATATATGAGGCAAATACTACGTTACTGTGTGATCTGACCATTCAAAAATTGAGCCTAAAGATCCATCATAAGTATTTTAATTTTTCTGATTTACAAATATGAATAAGAACCTTGAGACCAGAAAGCAGAAATGAATCAACAATCTATTTCTAATATGAGAAAAAGATTTTTTAAAATCCCATACCTCAATTATTAGAGCCTTGTCCATATGAAAAGTGGATTCACACACACACACACACACACACACACCTTAAAAATATATTCTGAAAAATATATTGCCACATTATAGAATTGGTTTCCTACTACACTAAGGTTCAAGTACTATTCATCCACACACACATATCTACCTAATAAGTAGAAATCTGCTTTAGATTTTGTATGCATCCCAAATAACTTTGATATAGCATCCTGAGAAATATACGGGAGAATTGACTTTTTTTCCTGTAATTCTGTTGTATATTAAGATAAAACAAGGCTAAGATTGTGTGGGTTTAAATTACAGCTCTATTTCTTCCTAGCTGGGAGATCTTGGCTACATTACAGAGCCTATCAAATCTAATTTCCTCATTTATATAAGGAAAGTAACAACAGTGCCCACCTTATAAGTTTTGTGGATAAAATGAGATAGTGTGGATCTTAGTAAAGAGTATACAAAATAAAATGCTAGTTATTACTTATTATTAATGTAAACAAATGCTTTTTCGATGATACACTGTTGTATAATATGTCATTGTTCATCACTAGATGGGCAAGGGAGATTTGACCACTCATCTTTAAAAAATGACACGATCAAATAACTTGCATGCCTATGAACAGGTTAGCATATTTAAAACAAAAAGTAGTTTTTAAATACAATTTGATAAGCATTTTAAACCACTTACTAATATCTATCCTCTGTTCAACTGGCAAAGGACTGACTCGGCTGACAAGTTTTGAAAGACACGTGGCTGCAAGGAGCTGAGCATAGGATGTCTATAAAGAATAATAAAATATATTAGCATCACAAATGAAATTAGAGTAATCAAAACTCTACAGCAGAAATTTTTCCTAAGCAATAATGAGACTTTTTGACATGAAACCAATAGTCAGCAAAAGTCTAAAATTTAAAACAGCATATCTCATCACAGCAGAATTTCTTCACAGAAATAGAAAACAAGGCTGCAACCAAAGTTAAGTTTCGAAGTGGCTCCTGTGTTAGCGAAGCAAAGAAAGCCACTTACCAATGGAGAGGTAATTAAATCACCATTATTTTACTGCAGTAGCTGAAGTGATGCATGCAGAGAAAGTAAACCTCAGACCACTAGCCTTTTGGTGAGAACAATGCTCAAACAGTTGAAGACATGTGAGCAACACCAACAGTGGATTTCAAACAAGGAAAATGATTTAAGGTTCTCCTGAGTTCTTGTCGAGATGGTAGATGTTACCAACACTGCCCATACTGTTACCGATACTTACTGTTTATTCCAGAAATCAATGCTAAGTGTGAAGTGGCTAAAGAGTTAACCTCTATAAAGAGTCTGTGAAAACACAGGCCAGAATATTCCTGAAGAAGCTGAGAAACACTAATTCTGTACAACCTAAAGCAGTATCCGCTAAGATGTGCCACAAGTGGTAGTAAAAATATATGAAGCAGAAAAGGGCTGCTGGACAAATTTACAAAGCTTGTAAAAATGTAAGAGACTAAAAGCCTATGGTTATTCACTGTATTACTCATCAGTAGATACTCCGTAGTAAATATCTGAATTTATCAGTGCTAATGAATCAGCGAAGTTAACTGTGGACTTCGATTCACTTTCAGAAACTTATCATCACTTCTGTAAATTTCTGTCAGAAATAGAAGCTGAAAATCCTAACTTTTCCCACCACAGTTCAAAGCTTAGCAGTGATAAAGTTTCATTACAATTTTTTTTTTAACTCAGGGCTGGGACTGAGATTTTTCTGTATGAGAAGAACCATTCTAAGCCACTACAGTTGAACACTAAATGGCTTCGGAAATTAGCTTCTGCTGCAAACTTGATGTCTCTTAATGAATTCAACCTAAAGTTACAAAGTGCCTAAAAGGCAAACAGTACTTAGTACTTATTTATAAAGCTTATAATGCAGTACAGTCATTTCAATAACAACTGATACTGTCTGAATCACAAGCAATACCAAGCCGCTTTATATACTTCCATACTGTCAAAAGTTAAAACAAGCAGCAAGATTTCTATTCCTGAGTTTTCTAAGCTCAAACTACAGTTCCAGCAGCATTTTTCAGACCTTGATGCAAGTGCAAAAGAAATTTCCATTATTTTAAAATCCATTTAACTGAGCAATTGAGGAGCTTCCACCTAACTTTCCATTGAAAATGACTAATCTGCGCCCTGGCCAGTTTGGCTCAGCGGTTAGAGCGTCGGCCTGCGGTCCGGAGAGACCCGGGTTCGGTTCCCGCTAAGGGCGCGTACTTCGGTTGCAGTTTGTCCCCGGCCCTGGTTGGTCGTGTGGGTGGCAGCCACTCGATGTGTCCCTTCACGTCGATGTTTCTCTCTCTCTCTCTCCCTTCCTCTCTCTCCCTCCCACTCTATCTGTACAAAAAATGGAAAAATATCCTCGGGTGAGGATAAAAACAAAATAAAAATAGAAAATGACTAATCTGCAATGTTATTTACATTCTAAAAGGCAAATATCAAGAGAAGTTTAATAGAATTCTATAAATGCTTTCTAAGTGATGAATGTGCTTAATTAAAAGCATATGCCCGCCCTGGCCAGTTTGGCTCAGCACTTAGAGCATCGGCCCACGGACCAGAGTCCCGGGTTCGGTTCCCACTAAGGGCATGTACCTTGGTCGCAGTTTGGTCCCGGCCCCGGTTGGGGTTGTGTGGATGGCAGCCACTCCATGTGTGTGTGTCTCTCTCTCTTCCTCCCTCTCTCCCTCCCGTTCTATCTGAAGATACATGTAAAAATGTCCTTGGGTGAGGATAAAAAAAAGAAAAAGCATATGCCCATGGATTGATATCAATATTTGGCAGAACCCATCTGTGTAAAAATATATTTTCAAAAATGAAATATATAAAATCTCATTACAGATCAGTATTAACATAAGAACATTTTCAATCAATGTTAATGACAGGAAATACTAACTCTGAACACCTGGTAAGCAAAATGTAATCCCTAAAAGGATAATGCCATTATTTTCATTAGGAGACCTTCATTTTTTTAAAAAACTATACTCAATTATTATATTTTAAATTGCATCAATAAAACTTTGTGGAGATTTGTTTTCTCTCCTTATAGACATACTTACAAAATATCCTTGATTTTGTCTCCTGACCCACAAAGTCTAAAATATTTACAATCTGACCCTTTACAGAAAGTTTGCTGACTTCTGCTCTAGACCATAGTCTCTCATTGTATCGTTTACCGTATTATTTCAGAGCTTTTTATTTATACATCTATGCCTTCCCCACTAAACTGAGTCACTTCAATGCACAAACACAAAGCAAGTAGGTGATACAGCCCCTGGTTTTTACATTTAAGTATTTGCTAAACAATTGCAGAACGGATGGCTATGGAACTCTAGGAGGGAGGAGGCAAGAGGCAGCCAGCATTCCTCTGACCCATTCCTTCATGTTTCAGTCAATTACAATCGGTTTCTCCCACCTTAGGTTTGTTTTGTTTTGTTTTGTTAAAGCTGTCAGTCCACTTTCTAAAAATGTAACTTTCGTCTACTGGTGCGATACATAAGGACGGGCCAAGGGGAATCAAGAAACCATTTCAATTCATGCCTATTTCGTGCCAAACGTCTCTCAGTTTGCTTTCAGGCTTTCCAATTCGACATGTGGTATACCTATCAGTCACCACTGCTAAGTTGCATGCGTTTGTTAATAATGACATGTTATCTACTATCTTTCATGATTAGTCACTGTTATCACATACTTACTGTTCCTTGTTCTAGTAACAGTTGACACTTGCTGAGACATTCTGGGCTGTCAATAAGTTCCAGGAGTGCTTTCTCAGCCTCTATTCTTTGTGTAAGATCAGTCCCAATGTAGAGATGAGTACATAATACTTCCAATTCTGCCAAACTCTTGAAAAGAAAAAATAATATTTTACTTGAGTGGAAAAAAATAAGATAAATATATTAATCAAAGCAAACAGATGCAAATATCATGCCTGTGTTCATCAATTCAGTAAGTGCTTATTGAGCTACCACTACTTACTAGAGGTCACAGTGGTGAACAAGTTATTTAATTACATTTAATCCAAGTTATTTAATTATTAAATGACAGTTCTATGATGGAAAAGTAAGAGTATAGAAAGAGGGGGGCTTGCCAGATCCAAGGAGTTAGAAAAGGCTTGCCTGAAGTAGTAACATTTATGTTGACCTGAAAGGGTGAACCAGAAGAAAAGACTAGAAAGCAGTCCCGGCAGAGAAACATTTACCAGGGCCCAGAACAGAGCTTAATCATTTCAAGGCACTAAAAAGTCAGTGTGCCAGGTAAAGGGACAGCAAGGAGGAGATGCCAAATGAAGCTAAACAGATGGGTGGGAGGGATTATGGGTAAGCTGTAGACATGACATCAATTTACATTCTTTCTCAAACTGTAGAGCTTCTATGGCTCCAGCTATAAAAAAAAAGAAAAGATAATTATAAATATATGCTGACTTGGGGCTTCTGAACTAATGACTCAGTGCTGTAGGTGAACTATGTTATGTTTTCAGGAACTATGACTTGACTCATGTTATTGCTAGCAGTGTAATAACTAGTTATGTTGCAGGCTCCTACTTCATAGGCACAAAGAATAATTCATTCTGTTTATAAATATAGTCTCAAGTGAAGATACAGGGCACATGGCTACAACCTGAAAAAAAATTCAAAATGGGTTCAGCATTCTTCTCACCTTAAAAGAATTTTTGTTAATGACATACTACTAAAACAAACTACTTCCCTTTGAACTTGAATCAGAGAATTACTCTTTGGAAGACAAACAACAATTGGCACAGATTTCAACATCAGGTGGGCAGAGAAAGAAATGTTATTTTGTGTCCTTTCTGGCCTGAATTTTTATATGGCAGCCTTACAGCCACACTAGTCCAAACATTCCCTCAAATGCATATATCTTTGCCTAATAGGAATAGACAAGAAACACTAAAACCTTCTCCACCTCCCCTTATTCTTTTCACTTCTCTCTACTTCTTAGCTCCTTTATGGCTTTTTCCACTTCCCTATCCAGGTCAGAGCCCAACATCCCAGACTTGGGAATTTTCTGCTAGAGTGAAAATAAAAATACAAAAGAAAGGTTTCAAATGGATAAATTAAAATAAATAAAATAAATGATCTCAAATGAGGTCCTTTTAAACATTTTAAACATTCTCACCTCACCCCATATTGGTCCAACAAGTCCTCAGAGTACTGAGTACTACTACATACTGTTCATAATATTAAAATGCATCGAGAATTTATGGTTCACGAACACATAGGAATTCCCATAGTTTCTCCAAGAGTAAGAAATACAAAAGTGAAAAGAGCTACCCCTTTCCCTCTCATAATTCATGATCAAGCTCAGAAGTCTTCCTTCATCTAATACATTTGAAGGGCTGAATTTTAAAACTGATAATACCCACAATAATTTAATAATAAACTGACTTTGCTGCATTCATCTACATCTAAGAGTCTTTGAAGAAACAGCCTTTGAGTACAAAAAGAACTAGGCCAGGACATGACAAGACCCAACTGTTTAAAAACAAAAGGAGAGATTAATAACAGTGTTTACCTCATAGGTTTGTTTGGAAGATTAAATAGGTCAAAGACATATCACTTTTGGAACACAGTATACACCATAAAGGCTAGTTGCTTATTATTAATATTACCTAAAATATTATAATTAATGGAATTGTATCCCCCTAAAAGATATGTGCAAGTCTTAACCCCCAATACCTTTGAATGTGACCTTATTTGGATATAGGGTCTTTGCAAATCCTTAAATAAAGTATCTTCAGATGTGATCATTGCGGATTCAGGATGGGCCCTAAATCTAATGATTCATAAGAGAAAGGAGAGGGACATTCTGGATGTAGAGACACAGAGACACAAGGGAGAAGGTCTGCTGAAGGAGGAGACAGAGATGGAGTGATGTATCTACAGGCAGCAGCAGAAACTAGAAGAACGTAGAGCAGTTTCTCCCTCAAGGCCAGAAGAAACCAACTCTGTTGGCACACAGAAAATACATTTCTATTGTTTTAACCCACCCAGTTTGTGACAATTTGTTACAACAGCCCTAGAAAACTAATACAAATAATAATATTAATCAATTCAATGGTACCTAAGTAAATTTATCTGGAAAGATTCTGGAAAAGTTCTGTAAATTATTTTGTCTGTTTTGCTACTGATTTAGACATCCTCAATACAGAAAAAGTCTGGAGTATATTTAAATACTATTTGTTTAAGTAGAAAATGTTTCCAATCATCCCCAAAGGTATTTCAAATTATTAACAACTAAAGGCAGCACAACATAAAGAAAGAAAGGTTTGAACTTTCTCTTCCCAAGATTAGGGAAGGGGGGGGGAATCAAATTATTCTTTCACTGTAATTTTTACAATTAAACACATGCCTGGCATACTAAATCTTTCCAGAGAAAAGGATACATACACAAAGATCTTTACTCTGGTGGAAAAGCATTATCTAAACATTTTAAATAGTTAAACTCACAGTGTGGTGGTAGCTCACTGACCAAGCAATCTTCTGATCAGCATCCGACTTTCCCAAGAATCTCTCTATAGAGACTATTTTTCAGTGTAATGATAAATTTACATCTTAGTTTTATACACTGATGTCAGGGAGTATAATTAACATGAGAATGCCTCCAAGAAATGACTCACTTCTCCATTTGACAAATCAGGTTTGAGTTATTAAATCCTCTACAAGGCTTAACATCAACATTAGAAGCCTATTTAAATAACTAAAGGGTAGAACAAGTAGAATTGGACATCACCTAACTCTTATAGAGTAACTATCAAATATAAACAGGCAGCACCCAATTTCCATAGCCTAGGAGACAATGACATACTCCTGCCTACAGTCTAAACAAGTATCTTCCAAGTTATTCTGGATTTATTTCTGGCCTTTGCATTTGACATACAATTAATCCCTAAATGAGGTAACTTCTTTCTATACAGTAGTCCCCACACATGCACCTATCAACAGGTAAATGCTGAGCAAAAGAAGCCACACAAAAAGAACACAGATTGTATGATTCTGTACTGACAGAAAACAGATCAGTGGTTTCTGGCTGGGGATGGAGAAGAGGAGGCATTATTTCTGAGGGGTGATGTGTTCAGTATCTTGACTTCAGTGATAGTTTCACAGGTACATACATGTCAAAATTCATCTATCTGCGCAGTTTAAGTATGTGCAGTTTATTATTTGTCAATTATACTTCAATAAAGGTAAAAAGTGAAGGCTTTTGTTCTAGGGGGGAAATCCCCTAATAATAAAAAAAATTAATCGATAAACCACGAAAATCCTACCTCAATTCAATTTAAAAGTCTTTTCATTACTTCCCTATATCTTTCTGCCTTCTGGAATTAAGCTTCTTGATTAGCACTAATAGAAAATGACTTTATCTTGAAGTTATTCATTTCCCACAAACTCTTTGTTTCCTCTTCCCTTTACTACCTTTCCCTGAGCATACCTCAAGACTTATTCCTGAACCTCTTATAACTCTTACTTCTGCAATGAACTGGATAGTACTATTTTAGTGCTTTATAATTTCCAAAAGTATTTCCATCTTTTATTTTTTAAACCAGTCCTGAAAAGTAGACTCCTGCAAAGTATGTATTTTAGCACACCCAAATTGAGGCTGAGAGATCAAATATATATGTGTAAGTTGCTCAATATCAAACATACAGCAAATGGTCAATTTTGAGACAAACACAAGTCTACAGGCCCCACTGACACGTTATCGCCTCACTGCCCTGTCATTTGTTCCCCTTCACTCAGTCACCATCGATCTGCAGATGATGGCCTAGTCCATGCTTTCAACTCTGTCTGTTCACCATCTTTATATCTGCCTACAAATGTCTTCCTCTTGGGAATCCAGAAAGATGCTGAAAGCAACCCAAAAATGTCAGGAACTGAACTGAATATATTTCCCACAGATTTCCATTTCAAGTGTCCCTTTGTTTTCTTTTGTGGCGTCAGAGGTCAAGACCAAAATCTAGATTTACGATCTTGGTGTTATCTTTGGCTCTTCATTCTCCTTAGTTCATCCTGTATAATTAAGAGTTTGGCCCTGTTCAAAGAAAAATCTGCACTTTGCCCTCAGATGCTGGAAGATAATCTATGTCACACCTGATACCAGTGTTTTTGTTCAGAATGAGAGGTAGAGAGGAATACCCCGTAGTTTTAAATTGGGGCTGGCCACACCAGAAAAGCCAACCACATGTTTCAGGGTGGGGACTTTGAATTACATAGTTTCAGTCTCCCTAACAGACTGAGATCAATCATGTGGGCAATGAATCAATCATGGCCAGATTCCCCGGTTTGCAATGCTCAGTTCATATTGCCACACATATATGCTTAGAGAGTATTATGCCTTGAGGACAACAAGTTTGTTTTGGAATTCCCCCAGACTCTGCCCTATGCATTCTGCTTTAAATCAGATTTAATCTGTTACTTTCTTGGTGATAAACTGCAATCACGAGTATTCAGTGAATTCCTTGAGTCCTTCTGATAAACTATCAAACCTGAGGGTGGGTTCTGGGAAACCCCCAAATATGCAGTTGGTGTCAGAAGTGAGGGCAGTCTTATGAACTGTGCATTCAAACCTCAAATTAGTTTGGCTAATTCCAGGCACATACCTAATTTATCATAAAGGCCTATCGATTATTTTAAAATAAAGACTCAGACTGACCACCCCTATATGATATTCATAGACAGTAAAGCAATAAAACGATGTTTTCTAACTGTGGCCTCCAGTGCCCTGGAGTCTCCACTGGCTTCTTTGGGAATAAGAGTGGACGCTTTGGAATCTGCCACTTCCTTATTAAGTGACCTCAAGCAAAGTATTTAACCTTTCTAAACCTCATTTTTGAAATAAAAAAATATTATTTTGAAATAATATCCACCTTTGAAAATAACTGTCAAGATTAAGATAGAAAATATGAGAGAAAACTTAATCCAGTGTCTGGCACACAGCAGATCCACAATAAAGTGTAAATAATCTCTTAGTTACTGATAATTATAAAACGCCATATTGGTCTTGTGTCTAGTTCCTCCATTTCAAGTCCATACTGCCAGGATGATTATTCCTAAACACCCATTCCATCATGTTACCATCAAATATAATAGCCCACAATCACATCTAGATCAAATCAGATAGTCTGGCTGAGTATTAAAAAGCATGACTCTAGTCCCTGGAACAATCCTGAAAGCAAAAAAAAAAACAAAAAACCCAACCAACTAGGGTCCCTAAATTTTTCCCAATGTTAGCTCTTGATTCTTATCAAGGTGCCTTTGTTGTATGAACTTAGCCTACATCTTGCTTGTTCCCAACTCTAACTTTCCTCACTCTGTCCCTTATACCCAGTCTGGATTGTCTCCTCTCAGATCATCTAGATCTATTACTTCCTCTGGGACAGAGTACCCTAACTCAAGCTTCCTAACCAGAATACATGTAACTTAAATGGGTTATAGGTACGCCTGATATCGATCTGCCTGTGGTCAGGCAGGCTTCTGGCTGTGGGCAATTTATGTCAATGAGCCACATAATTACCATTTTTTATGTGTGCCATGATGTGAAAAAGATTATGGAGCAGTGCCCTAACCTCACTTTACACAAATGCACTTCTTTACTCGTCACTTTAACAGCATAATTTTTGACTAGCTACTCTGTTGAGGTGACAGTAAATTATGGGTATGAAAGCACATGGAATTATGAGTTATTAGGTCTACTCTAAACCCTATAGCCTCGGGCCAGTCACAATTGTTCTAAGACTCAGTGTCTTCAGAAATAAAATATATACATATATGCACGCTTCTAACGTTAGTTGTGGGTCTCAAAATCTACAATGAGCATATGAAAATTCAAAATGCTAAGCACAGGTTACTATTATTAATAAATGCTCCTGAGTTAACTGGACAACAATATGATCCTATAGACTGGAAAGAATTCAAACTGAGAAGTTTTGGAGCTTTTTTCTGGCCCCCCAAACTAGTCGATCTTTTATTTGTCCAACTCCACCTTTGGTCTGTCCACAGCTGCTGTAAAATAAATACATTGCTAGAAAACCAATACAGGCAGTTTTGGCATTAGCAGCTAATTTTCAACACTCCACCTAAGTATGAAGACACCTTCCAGGACAGAGTGATTTACTGTTATGTATCATCTTTCCAAGTCTGAAAATGTTCCACACTTCCACCTTAGTTTTTAATTACCCTTGAGATTTACATCTGAACTGTGAACATCTGATTACCTATTTACAATTCCTAAATCCTCCCAGTGAGATTCTTCTTGTGAAAATTTCCCAGGGGGTGTATTTACAAAGTGATAATAAATAACATTATTTTGACCGGGAGACCCTTAAAATGGCAATGAGTCAAAAGGCAATGTGTGGGGCTCACCACCTCCTAATCCATAACACCCTGGAGCTGTCAATTACCTGACATGAGAGTGGCTGGTTGCAAAGAAAAGACCCTTTGGGGAAAGAAATAAGGAATAAGTGTGACCACAGGGGGTCCAAAGAAGTCTACAAAGGGGATGTGACACTTAGACACACTGTCATCATATCAAGAAATTGCCTGCCCCTCCCAAGTCACCTCCCGTCACCCACAACCTTCCCTCCCTTTTGCATGAACCCCACACTCCAGCCAGAGGGAACTTCCTGCAGTGTGCCATATTCTTCCCGTTTTTTTTGTGTTTTTTTTTTGCCTTGGCTCACACTGTCCTTTTGCCTCTACACTCTTCCCTTCCTCTTCACCCGGCCAACTCCTACTTTCAAGACCCACTAGAC